CGGAGTCGCAAGAGCCATAAGCCCGCCGGGCCGGCCGCGCGAGGCGGGGCGCTGGGGGCGGGGCCGGCCGCGGCCCTCCCCTTTGTCTCGCCGGCTCCGGGGGCGCAGGCGCGCTGGCTCCGCCCCGCTCGCGCGTCACCAGGCGCGTGCCGGCCGGTCAACTCCGCCCCGTGCCGACGAGTCCACTGGGCCGGCAGCGCAGGAGGGGCGGGCGGGCTGCGGCCCTGTTCCCCGCTGTTTGCTCCGGCTCCTTCGGGAGACAGCGAGCCCCGTGGTGGTCTCCGTCTGGCTTCTGTCTTTGCAGCCGCTGGGAGAGTCGCGCGGAGGGCTCCGGCGGCGGGGCGGGGCGCGCGCGCGCGCCGCTTCCCCTGCTCCCCAGCCCGCGGCGCGTGGTAGAGCCCGCCGCTTCATTTCCCGTGCGCGCCGCCGCACCCTCTCTTTCCTCAGCCGTCTCGCGCCGCCGAACTCTCTTCTTTGGTCAGCGCGTCCTTGGCTGGCGTGTGAGTACTGCGGCCCGTGCCGAAGGAGCCGCACGCGCCGCGGAGGCCCCACGGGCCGGGGGACGGGCGACCCGGGCTGCGCCTGCGGCTCTGCGCCGTGACGGACCGAGGCGCAAGGGCCGCCGAAGTGCGGGCTGAGGAGCAGCGGGCCAAGTGCGGCTCCCGGGGCGGGCGCAGAGGGGCGGGGCCCGCGGCCCACGTGGCCGGCCGAGCGCTGCGGCTGCCGGGGCCGGAAGGTGGCGGGGTTGCGTGGGGGCGGCATTGGCCCTCTGTCTCGGTGGGTGACAGCAGGATGTGCCCAGCTGTGGCCCAGGCCTGTAGACCTTCTTCTGTCCAGCACGCGCTTATTAAGCACCTACTGCACGCCGGCTCTGGACCAAGGGGGGTAGGTGCGGGCCCAACCCTCGTGGAACCTCGACGAGAAGGCATGAGGACGAGACTGCTGCGTGACTGAAGCACAGGGTTTTCTGAGAGCGACCGGGGGTCTTGACTTGGTTCAGGTGTCCGGGCAGGAGGCGACGTTGAAGCCAGCCTCCGAAGGGGAGGGTGATGCCTTCCTGGAAAACGGGCAAGAAAGGAAAGGCTGATGCTGGATCCAAGGGTGCAGTGGGGTGGGGACCCCATGGAGGCTGCATGTCAGAGTTTCCAGAATGAAGGGCCACTCCAGAGCAAGAGAAATATTGGGGTGGCCCCTGCCTGATCGGGTGTCTCTTACATTGACTCTGGCATGTAACCCCTCTGAGCGTGGGCCTGGCATGGGGCAGGGAGGGACGTCTTTACCAGGCTCTCACAGGAGCAGCTGTAACACCCTAGGTTCCCCGGGTCAGTAAGTGTGTGGGTTCAGATGCAGTTTGGTCATTCCTGAGTCCTCCTGTGCCCAGCCCCGTGGACAGAGTGACGCCCGAGAAAGCGCCTTCTCATGGAGCGCCTGGCCACAAACCAAGGAGTAGGCTTTCTGTGCCACCTCTGCAGGGCAGTGTTCTGGGCCCCGTGCCAGTCCAGCTTAGGCCTCCCTTTCTTCACTGTGCAGTGGGGCTGCTGAGGGGCTCATGGGAGCCTGGCGGAGTAAGCGCCTAGCTACGGGTCCCTTCCTGCCCTCGATGGGCCAGGACCACTGCCCTCTGGAGAAGCCTGTTGGGGGCTGGTTCCTGGGCTTTGCTGCTGGGGAGCTGGATGAGGCTGCAGGGTTCAGCATAGGTGGGCAGATGTGCTTGGCTGGTGTTTTTATGTTTTAAAAGATGCACGAAAAGAATGTCCTCCAGCGTGTCACGTACTAGTGTCAGCTTTTCAGGGGCCGCAGGCAGGAAATGCTGGCCTGAGTATTTGTCGAGCCCTGGCCCTGTGCTGGTAGTTTTAAGATGATGTGTGTTGGAAGTGGGTGGCAGCAAGACACTGATGTGCAGTAAAGGCGTTGGAGGGAGAAGACCGGGACCCCAGTCCCTCGCCTCACTGACTCGGAGCCTTGCTTCCCTACTCCCGCGTCCCAGCTGTGTGAGAGGCCTGGAGACACGCACTAAGCGTGTACACGGACGGGTCAGAGAAGCACATGCAGAGCCTGTGTACCCCAAGGGAAGGACGCAGGGACCTGGCTGGTCCGGTGGTGCTCCACCGGACTGGGACAGAAATAGAAATGACAGGCTGTGGCTTGAGGCGGGACCATTGTCAGCCTGGGGTGTGACTTGGGCTTCCACAGTGTGAGCCCTGAGGGTGCGGGTGCTCCCTTCCTGCCATCAGGACGGGTGGGCATTTCTGAGTGTGGCTAAACTACCCAGGAAGCAGAGGTCAGAAAGCCTGAGTAGGAGTTTGGGGCTGTGGTGTCCCCCAAAGGAAGGTAGACAGCACCCCGGCCGTCTGCAACTGAGCTGGGCTGTGCGGTCAGTGCCGCTGCTCACCTACAGTGGCAGAGCAGCACACCACGCCTGCTCGTGCCAGTCCTACTTCCTGTGGCAGGTGGACATTTTGTGACCCCTGGGCATACAATCTGGGAGTTCCTCCCTGTGTGACTGGGATGGGGAGAGGGCTGTGGGCTGCATGGGCAGTGTCTGGAGGGTGGAAAGGCGTGTGGAGGGCGGAGCCAGGGGAGGGGCCGGCCCCTCCCAGAAACCTTCCCTATTGCCCAGTGTCCCAGGCCCTGACACCAAGCTGGACATAGCTCTGCCAGGCCACGTCCTCACTTTACTTCAGGGCCCTCTAGCCAGGAGTGTCCTGGCTGGGGGCTGTGGCCGGGTTTCTGGTGCTGGCACCTTCTGGCTTGGCTGGCCGAGAAGGGCCCGTGGCCCCCAGAGGCTCTGGACATGTTTTGGTGCACTGGCCACCTCCGTGCAGCCAAGAGTGGACTGTGCCAGGCACTGGGCTGGGAGTGTCGCAGACGAGGGGTCATCTCTAACCAGTACCACCTCAACTGTCAGCCTGGTGGCCAGGCAGGGTGTGGTCCCGCTGGGGCCTCCCAAACCGTAGACCCCCAAGCTGGCGAGGCAGAGCCCCATTTATGAGAAAGGTCTCAGTGTGCCTGACGGACAGGGCTGGGCTGCAGTGGGGGGCCGTCGGCTCTTGGCCCTGCAGGTGAGCAAGCCAGCCGCCGGTGGGGATTCCTGAGGCCACTTCTGGTCCTTGCTCTGGTGTTTGTGAGTTTTCCTGTCCTCCGAGCTGCGGCCACTGCTGCCTGGAGACACCCTGGGAGAGGAGAGTCCGACTGTCCCTGCGGGAACGCGGTGTCCTAGCTGGAGAGCTGTAGGCAGGTCTCTGACCTCAGAGGGAAGTGTTCAGATTCCACCTTGCTTTTCTACCAGGAGAGATGGGGTTTCGGTTCAGCGGGTCCTCATGGAATGCAAGGCGCTTGGGACAAGGGAAGTAGAGGAAATAAATAGGTGGGCTCCTGCGTCTGCCGCTCTGCTGTCTTGGGAGACCTAGCAGCAAGACAGGGCGAGCCGGAAGTGTTGCTGTGAGTGCTCTGGCCCTGTCCCAGCATTGGCTTCACCCTGGGTGGCTCTCCACTGCTCTCAGCTGTGACCAGCCTCCCCAGGTGATGCTCAGTTGCTATCTGCAGAGAGCCCTTCTCCCCCCAGAGCCTGCCCAGGACCTGTGCACCCTGAGGGCCCGCTTGTCTGTCCACACCTGCAGGGCACCTTGTACATCCCTGTCCATTAGTGACTTGATGCTATGCAGGGACCTGGGTGGCAGAGCTCCCATTGGAGAAGGGAGACAGATTCTTAAGAGCTCTAGTCACTGAGCAGCTGCGGGGGGCCCCGGGGCAGGGCGCCGTGGGCAGAGCGTGTCATCTGTGCCCAGTGGGACTCCCTAGAGTCAGCTTCTCAGCTCCCTGCTGTGGGTTTGGGGCATGGCCCCTAGCTTTTGTGGCCTGTTTCCCCATCTGTGAATGGGCTAAAAGCCCTATCTTTTTGTGCCCACGGGGAAGACTTTGTGTCTCTCAGAGCCCCTTGGTGGCACCCTGTTTCAGCATTGGCCCTGGGGCTTGGTGGCTGCTGAGACCCCTGGAGTGGTCCTTGTCATCTTGCACTTTATCAGAGCTTCTGCTTTGGGGATCAGCCTAAACCAGTGACAGCATGGGGCGGGGCTGGGTCCTTTCACAGCTCCAGGTGGACAGTGTGGGGCTCAGGGTGCTGGCTCGCCTGTCCCCAGATGGCCTCGGCCGGAGCGAGGAACAGGTCGGAGGGCTGTTCAGATGGTGCCTCCAGGGTCTGCCTGGGCTTCAGCTAAGGGGAACCCCAGGATGCCTGTTTGGAGTGATGACAGCCTCGCTACCTGAGCGGGCGCACCGGCCGCCTCCTGGCATCCTGGTGGTGGGTCTGCAGTGCTCACCGTGTCTCCCCCCCCCCCAAACTCGCCTGCACGCCACCTCACCGAGCAGCTCCTGAAAGTGCCGCCCTATCTGAATGCCTCTAACTTGCTGCTTTCTCTTCATGCTGTCCTAGGAGGTCAGAGCGAAAGTAAGTACACCTGTCCCGTGCGCCCTTCACCCGAGCCCGAGAACCCCCAGCACAGCCAACACTGCGTCTGGGGAGTGTGGGGCCTGGCTCACCAGGCTGCTGGTTTCTGACCATCTGTAACTGGAGCTGGGCTTGCCGTGGCTCTGGCCCTGATCCGTTGGGTGGAGCAGCAGCAGCAGGTCTCGGTGCTTCCTTCCCTGAGCAGGACTGTAGGCAGGGCACAGAGCTGCAACCCTGGCAGGGCTTGGACACAAGGGGTCCAGCTTTGTAGGCAGGGCCGAGGGGTCTTGGCGTCAGAGGTCAGAGGGCACACAAGCCCTGCCTGATCAGCCTGCCACCCCCTCAGAGACAGTGGGTGATGTCACAATGCTCTGCCTCCCACTACTGCATCTGCTGCCAGCCTGGCAGGAAGGTGCCCGGGGGCGGCCCCGGCTCCTCTCTGGGACCTTGGAAGAGGCCTGGGGCATGTGCCATTAGAGGCCCCCAAAGCACCCCTCAGAGGACAAGGAGGAACCTCCCTGAAGTGCTAGGCAGTGTGGGACTTAGTCCACGCGTCCCCAAGGTAATTGGAGTCGGGTTTTGGTTTTGTTTGGGGGAGGGGTTTCCCTTCCAGGCTGGAAGGCTGCCCTCCCTCTGGAGACTTTGTCCCCTGGGGATGAGGGCCCAGGGGGGTCTGCCCTCGCTTAGACTCCACCAACGACCCACAGAAGCAGGGGCCGTGGGGATGGCCGAGGGTAGCTGGTCAGCCCCTGGCAGGTTAGCACCTTGGTCAGTGTTGGGAAGTCAGCAGGATGCTTCTGCTTTGGGGAGCAGGACCCCAAGTCAGGCCTGTGGCGGGAAGGAGTCCCTGTGCTGGTCACAGCCAGCCCTCTAGAACAGGCCAGCTGCGTGAGCTTGGGATCCCTGGGCACGTCATCAGAGCAGGCTGGCTCCTCTCTTCTTGCCGAGAGGAGGGCCCCTCAGCATCTGGTCTGGTCGGCAGAGTGGGCACCAGCCTTTCCACAGCACCACGCCTGGTAGCAGAGTGGGAGCTCCCTATGCCAGCAGCAGGATCGGGGTGTGGCAGGGAGTGAGGCCATTGCTGTCAGGCCAGCTGCCCTAGGAGCGGACGGCTCGGGCCACCTCCTGCAAGGAGGCTGAGGTTCCTGCCTCCCGACGTCCTGGGGCTCAGAGATTCCTGGTGGCCCTTTAGTTTAGCACATGCAAAGGTGTGAGCTGATCGCCTCCTGATCGGAGGCGCTGACCACGGAGCCTGCTTCTTACTCACGGCCTATGCCACTGGGCTCGTCCCTTTAGATGTCACCAGCATGGTGTCTGGTGTCTTCCCTGATATGGTCTTGTCGGGGTGGGGCCCTCTGCTCCCAGCTGCCTACTGTGAGGCCGGCTCCTGTATAAGACCCTAGGCAGCTCCTCTTGGACTGTGGGATGCTCTGGATGGTGCTGTGGCCATGGTGGGCGTAGGTGACTCCGGCTGGGCGCACTGTGATGAGCCATCCTTAGACAATCAAGTGCTTTCTGGAAAACCAGTGCCTCAGGGGAGGTGGCTGGACTCAGCAAAACAGGACGTCAGTTTCAATTTCGTATGAACACAAGTAATTTGTCATTATAAGTGAGTCTCGTGTTTTGTGGGACGTACTTATTCTAAAGATTATTTGTTGTTCACATGAAAGTGAATTCACTGAGTGCATTGTGTATTTTACCGGGCAAGCCTGCCTGGAGATTCTGTGAGAAGTTCCTATGGCCAGAGGGGTTTGGAAACTTGTCCACACCTCTTTGGAGAGCATGGATGCACGTTGGATTAGAAATACGAGTTGTAGTTACAAGAATACATATGTTTACACACTCAGATGTATGGTGTTAGTTTATCGCTGTAGTGTGCTCCCTTGGGTTAGACTTGGGGTCCTTGCATGTTGCCTGATGGTTCCCCCTGGGAAGCATCCAGGCCTCCAGCCTCGCAGCCAGGCTGCGTGGGAGGGGCAGGCTTGCTGTGCTCAACCACCTTCTTGTCTTGCTTTTAACGCTGCGTGGAAGATGAGGAGCGGGAAGGCCTCCTGCGCCCTGGAGACCGTCTGGGAGGACAAGCAGAAGTACGGGGACGCGGAGAGGCGCTTCTACGAGCAGGAGGCCATGCGAGCCGCCACTGCCCAGCAGCGCCTGGCCGAGGCGCCCACTGCGAATGGGCCCGGCCAGCAGGACACCGAGGAGGTGTGGGAGGCAGCGGCCCCCAGCAGCTGCAGGGGCGACCCTGGGAAGGGCTGCGATGGGGCAAGGCCCCTGCAGAAGAAGAGGAAGCGCTCCCCGAAGAACTGGCTCGGTCAGGTGGACCTAGCCCTCGTGGGCCTCTCGGCCGACCACGTCTGGCTGGACAAGCCACTTTTCGATCAGGCTGAGAGCTCCTACCACCAGAGGCTGGCAGACGTGGCTGCCCAGGCAGCCCGGCCGCCTGCTCTGGCCCCCAAAGGTCCCTGCACCCACGGAAGCCAGGTGGCCTGCCACCACGTGACCTGGGGCATCTGGGTCAACAAGCCTGCCTTCGACCGGGCCGAGCGGGCATTCGTGCAGTGGTCTCAGGCTTTGCTGTTGGCTGCAGAGGGCAGCAACAGGCAGGGGACTCCCGACACAAGCCAGCGGGCACCCGCCCCCGACCTGGCCCTCACCCGCCAGCCCAGCCCCCCGGCCAACGGCCAGCCCCCGCTGGGCAGCCTGCAGGCCCTGGTGCAGGAGGTGTGGCTGGAGAAGCCCCGGTACGACGCAGCCGAGAGGGGCTTCTACGAGGCCCTGTTTGATGGCCACCCCCCCGGGAAGGTGCACCTGCAAGAGCGAGGCAGCCAGGCTGAGGGCGCCAGGCGGGGCCGCAGAGACCGGCGGGGCCGCAACGCTGTGGGGAGCCGGCGGGCCGGGCCTCGGCGGGTTGATGGGGTGGTTCCCTCGACCCTGCCCTACTGGTACTTCCTGCACAAGGACGCTGAGGCCCCCTGGCTCAGCAAGCCCACCTACGACAGTGCAGAGTGCCGCTACCATGCTGCTGAAGCTGTGCGCATGGCCTGCTGCCTCGAGGCCACGGTTCTGGCTCACCGACCCGCTGCCCGGGCTGGCCCATCTGTGTCCAGCCTGAGACCCAAGTAGGAGAAATGTGCTAGGCGGGTGCTCCCCTCCCTGGTCCCCCCCGCGGGGCTGTTCCTGAGACACCTGGACCCGGCTAAGTTGGATACAGGAATGGGTTGGGCAGTGCAGCCTCTAGGGTCACCCCTTGGGGGTCACAGTTCTGGGCTGTTGGGGGAGGGAAGGGGTTGGCACAGTGCTGACTTTGCCCTACACTGGATCTCCTGTTGGCTAGGCAACTCCCAGGGGAGTGTTGAAGGCTCCTGGGCCCCACTGGGGCAGGACGTGGGAGGCAGCACACACCTGCCTGCCCCTCCTGTCATCCACCCCTGCTCCCTTGTTGTCCTTGGCCACCACTGAGGTAAGGTGGGTGTCTCGGGTCCACCAGAACATGGCCAATCACGCAGCCTGCGCCCGACGGACACCGCTGGGGAAGGCAGACTTGCTTTCAGTCTGAGGCCTGGGGGCTTGCACCACCGGTGGTCTCTGGAGGCCAGGGGCGGGAGCAGGCCAGTGCCTGGACCCAAGGGAGTGCAGCAGGGGCTGGGGTATAGGCAGCTGGGCCCCGGAATCCCAGCAGGAGCCCCTTGGCTTTGCCCTTTTCTGGGGTTGACCTGCTGGATTCACAGGGTCCAGCCTCGGTGTGAGGGACGACACCTTCATGGGGGAATGTCCCATCAGGCAGTGTGTGGGGGGTGATTCATGGTGGTCTTGCTCCTCAGGCAGGGGGTGGGGGTGGTGGAGGAGGTTCATGGGACCCGCCCCCTCTTGTCACTGAGAGGACACTTGGCGAGGTCCAGTGATGGCCTGGGGTCCGTGTCTGTCACATTTGGCGAGGAACAGGAAGGGCTCTGCAGGCCCAGGTCTGGCTGCTCCCCACCTTGCCGAGCGGCGGGAAAGCAGCAGATGGCAGACAGGTGTGTGCGTGGCAGAGCAGCGACTTGCAAAGTGCTGGGCTGGGTGTGGCTCTTGGGCTGCATGTGGCTTGTCCCAGTCTAGAGCAGCAGTTCCCAAGCTTACTGGTCTCAGGACCCCAAAGAGCTTTTGTCACATCTATCGGTTTTTACTGCATTTGCAATTAAAACAAATGCTAAAAGCATTTATTAAAAAAGAGTAATCCCCCCCAAAAAATAATATGAGTAAACTTATTGGTAGACATTAGTATTGAAAACACGTTGTTGGAAAGCCTTCAGTGGATGAGTGAGGGGCCTGGTTTTACATCTCAGGAATCCCATCAGTGTCTGGCTCAGAGGCGATGTTCCCTCACACCTGTGCTGCGTTCAGACTGGGTGTGCGTTGTCTGACTGACATAAATCCGGCCTGGCACAGGAGTGTGCTCGGAAAAGGGAGGACCTTGGGGACCCCCAGAGGTTCCTGGCAACACTCTGAGAGCCGCTGGTCTTGGGGACAGGCCTGGGACTGGCCTGGGCACTGAGGGAAGCCGTGCTGGGATGGGGATGGGGGGAAATACAGACTTTGCGGTCCATGCTGAGAACACTCGTGCTCTGCCCAGGCACCTGGAGCCCTTGTCGCCCAAGTACTGGGACGGCCTACCTGCCCCTTGGTGCCCGGGGCTGTTGGCAGGGGTGCTGGTGCGGGCCAGGCTGTCTTAGCCTCTCCTTCCCCTCCCAGCAGGAAAATGGCCACAAACTTTCTAGTGCACGAGAAGATCTGGTTCGACAAGTTCAAGTATGACGATGCGGAGAGGAAATTCTACGAGCAGATGAACGGGCCTGTGGCTGGCTCCTCGCGCCAGGTATGGGCTGCACTTGGGACCACTGGGTGTCTGCCGGCACCAGGAGGACAGGCACTTTCTGCCCAGCGGCTGTTCCAGGTGTGGTGGGGTCTTCGGAGGGGTGGCCCTGGCTGGCTCCTGGGGTGCTGGACCTGCTCCTGTCGCAGCAAGGGACAGCGCGCCCCCCACTGTCTCCTGGGCCTGGGCTGGGCCTGTGGCCTCGGCTGCAAGACTCCGGCACCTTGTGCTTCTGCCTGCTGAGCTCTCGTTCTGCGCACCACACTCCCGCTCTCCACCAAGGGCTCCTTTTTTTTTTGGAAGTTAAAATTTTTTAATGAAAAAAAAAGACTGGTTCTTTCTGCACTGTCTGCAGGAGAACGGCGCCAGCGTGATCCTCCGGGACATTGCGAGAGCCAGAGAGAACATCCAGAAATCCCTGGCTGGAGTGAGTACCGCGGCCTGAGTGCTGCCGGCGCGCTAGTGCGGCCGCCCTCACGCCAACGGCACGCCCGCTTCCCCCACGACTGCTGGTTTTGCCCTTTGGAGCAGTTAGGGCGAGGTGTGCAGCGCTGAGCTCCTGCCGGGACCCAGGCCTGGGACCCTTCTGCCCGCGTCCTTGCCGGGCCTCTTGCCTGCTTGCTGATGCTCACCCGGGTCTCTCTCCCCACTCGCCTGCGACCATGAGAGGGGCTGGCGTCTGCCTCTCCCCGAGGCCTTGCACTCCCCAGAAAGGGTTCAGAGAGTGTGGAGTTCGAGTCAGAATCGGCACCACTGTGAATGTGAGGCCCGGGGAGGGACCCTGCAGCCCATCTTGTCCTCTGCGTCCCAGGTGGGGTCAGGAGGGGACAGCCCTGTCCAGTTCTGCCCCAGCCTGGCCGAGGAGCTTGTCCCTAGGAGGTGGCAGAACTGCTGCTCCACCGTCCTGGCCATCGGAGCCAGGACTTCGTTCTCCCTATGGGACGCAAGGGTGTGTCCTGACCCTGAGGGACAGGTGTCAACACAACTGTCCTCCTCCTGGAGACCCCAGGAGAGAATCCATTGCTTTGCTTTCTCCAACTTTGAGAAGCTGCCTATAATCCTTAGCCTGTGGCTTCGGGCCAGCAGCGCCATGACTGATGTTTGCTCCTGTCCCATTCCCTTCTCTGTCCCTGCTTGTCTCATGTACGGACCTTGTGATGACACTGGGCCTACCTGGGTAATCCAGGGTCATCTCAACCCCATCACACCTGCAAAGTGCTTTTTGCCATGTGAGGCCCCTTGCCTGCACAGCTGGTTCAGGTGGACCAGTTCTCGGGCCACAGGCTGGGCAGTCTTGGGCAGGTGTCTCCCAGGAAGTGGGGCCACCGCCCAGCAGGCCCTACTGTGCGCTTGGCCCCTACCTGCTCCTGCCTTGCCTTCTACCCGACCAGGTTCAGGCCGGGCAGACAAGGGACCCAAGTGTCACGAGGTCTTTGCACCTAGGGTGCCAGCTGGGGGCTCAGCAGCTCTGAGCTACAAGAACTCCCCCTCCTGCGCTCGGGCCTGGCTGTGTTGGGGTTGGCTCTGGGTCCTGGTCTTTGGGGAAAGCTGTGGCATGCTGCTCGGGCTTGGGGACAGTATGCTTGGGGCTTGGCCAGCACCATCCTTCCCGGGTTCCTGTCAGCAGCTGAATGACATGCCTCTAACATTCAAAGCACCACAGAGCCCATGGCGTAAACAATAGACATATATTTTCTTACAATCTGAAGGCTGGGGTCCAATGACAAGGTGTGAGCGGGGTTGGTTCCTTCTGAGGCCTCTCTCCTTTGGCACGCAGATGGCCGTTTTCTGGCCATGTCTTTGTGTCATCTTCCCTGTGTCTGTTGTAAGGACACCAGTCATTGGGTTAGGACCACCCTAATGCCCTCATTATAACTGGATCACCACTGTAAAAACCCCACATTCAGAAAAGCTCCTTTCCACATGAATGTTAGAGGAACGTCATTCAGCTGCTCACAGGGACCCCGGGAGGACGGTGCTGGCCCAGCCCAGGCTCAGATTTGCGTGGGCTGGCGCTCAGCAGACACAGCCTTCAGTGCCCTTCACAGCCTTCAGCGTCAGGCATGGGAATGGAGAGTTCTGGATTCAAAACCTTGGTGTGCAGTGCTGCCTTTGGCTTGCTGTCCCAGGCTGTACCTGGACTAGATGGCCTGGGCCCGCCTTGCTGGGGGCGGGAGCCCTGGGCTCCCTGGCTGTCGCTTCCCTGCCTTGGAATGAGCTTGGTGGGTGGGGGGGTGGACAGGGGGCAGCAGTCCCAGGGCAGAGGCTTCATGGAGAGGCCTGGTAGCACTGCTCACGTGGGGCTTGAGGCCCCAGCACCTGCTTCACTTCTCCGGGGCACCGCGCCCTGGGAGGGAACCTGCTGAGCTGGGGCCAGCAGGAGTGGGAGGTTCTGGCTTTCATCCTTGCATGACAGCAGCCATCAGGGATCTTAGTGGGTTAGGGCATTGGGAGCTGAGTGCTGTGGGAAACAGGCCGGAGAGGGGACCTCGTGCCTGTGGGTGAGGGTGGTCTAGGGGGACCCCTGGAGAGCTGCTGGTGGACGGTGTGCCATTTACTGACTGAAGGAGGCTGGGGACTGAGTTGAGCTGAGGGCGGGGAGTGACATGAGCAGAACCCACCCTGGTCACAGTGGCTTGTCAGCGCTCCTTAGCCACACAGCGCCCTGTCCGCCCTGGGCCAGCTCTGCTAGGAGCAAGCTGGTGGGCGGGTCACGGGACAGTGTCGGCCTTGCACTGCCCAGTACAATGGCAGGGAGCCAGACACCTGGCGGCCTGTCCTCTGTGGGGACCATGGTCTGGGGGAGTACAGAGTAGGGGGAGGCCACGTGGCTTGCCCTGTGGCTGCTTAGCAGGTGGGCCTCAGGCCCAGGTCTCTGTGATTGGACACTGGAGGGCGACAGCGACCCTCAGGAAAGGGCCTTGGGAACCCTGTTGAACAACCTCACATGTGCATGTAGGCCCCTGGGGTGTAACTCAGGCTTGAGCTGTGGTGCTCTGCATGTGAGCTCCCTGGGCAACATTGTGTGGGTCAGGTGATGGGGGCCAGGCTTGGGTTCCTAGGTCACCCAGAGCCCTCAAGGGCGGGCGTGGTGAGCCAGCTGGTGGATGCGTGGCCCAAGGAGGCAGGGCGCTATGCTGGCTGCTGCAGGGTGACTGTACCTCGGGCATGCTCCTTCCTGCTGCCCCCGGGACCATCAGTCCTCTGCTTCCTCCCATTCCACTGGGCAGTGGTGGCCATGGCTCTGAGTTCCCGCTTCCTCCGTGCTGGGGCTGCCCTGGGCCCTTTCCACTTAGCTCAGAGTGTCACCGTGGTCCACCCCTCCTGGGAGGAGCATGGCAGGTGGACTCAGCTCAGGGCTGTGCTTCTGAGTGGCTGTGAATGGGGGGACCCTAGGCACAGGCTGGGGTGCCAAGCTCTCACCCTCCCCCTGCCTTGCAGAGCTCAGGCCCAGCGGCCTCCAGCGGGCCTGGCGGAGACCACAGTGAGCTCATCACCCGCATCGCCAGCCTGGAGGTGGAGAACCAGAGCCTGCGAGGCGGTGAGGCCCTGGCTCTGATGGGTGGTGGGGGGAGGGGTTCCAGCCCGGTCCCAGTCCCCTGACCAGCCCCCTTGACTCCTGCAGTGGTGCAGGACCTGCAGCAGGCCATCTGCAAGCTGGAGGCCCGGCTGAGTGTGCTGGAGAAGGGCTCGTCTGCTCACCGGGCCACAGCCCCGCAGACCCAGGTGAGCGTACCCTAGGCCCAGGGTCCCGTGTCCTCCAGGCCCACCAGCCAGGGTGCGTGGGTCTCAGCCTCCACTCCCCCTCGGCAGCACGTGTCCCCCATGCGCCAAGTGGAGCCCCCCACCAAGAAGGCAGCCACTGCCACGGAGGATGACGAGGATGACGATATCGACCTGTTTGGCAGTGACGACGAGGACGACAAGGAGGCCGCCCGGCTGCGAGAGGAGAGGCTGCGGCAGTACGCAGAGAAGAAGGCCAGGAAGCCCGCGCTGGTGGCCAAGTCCTCCATCCTCCTGGACGTCAAGCCCGTGAGTGGCCTGCCTCCGACCTCCCCCTGCCTTGGGATCCTGGTGGCACTTGAGAGCCAAGTCAGAAACCTTGGGCTAAGGAAAGAGACACGGGGCAGGGCGGGGATGAACTCGGGCCTCTCATAGGGCCCTGCGAGAACTGCTCTGCTGTGCTGGGGGTGGCTCCCCTGGTGTCACAGGCTCCTGCCCCAGCCTCTCCTCCTCTCTGTCCCCAGTGGGATGACGAGACGGACATGGCCCAGCTGGAAGCCTGCGTGCGCTCAGTCCAGCTGGACGGACTGACCTGGGGGGGCTCCAAGCTGGTGCCCGTGGGCTACGGTATCCGCAAGCTCCAGATCCAGTGTGTGGTGGAGGACGACAAGGTGGGCACCGACCTGCTGGAAGAGGAGATCACCAAGTTCGAGGAGCACGTGAGTGGGCGGGCCTCCACGGGGCGGTCTGCAGGGGACAGGAGTGGGTGGGCCTGGCGACATGGCCCCAGGTGACCACTGGCCTCTTCTCTCTCCAGGTGCAGAGCGTGGACATTGCTGCTTTCAACAAGATCTAAGCACGCACTGGGCCTGGGCGTGGGCCTGGCCTGCAGCCATTAAAGACTGAGTGAGACCCAGCTCTCTGGCTCCTGTCCTGGTCTGGGCCCTGGGGGTGGGCAGCGTTCCGTGAGCCGCACTGCCAGGCCCCAGGCCTCAGTAGAGTCCCTGCTCCTACACCGGTGGTCCCAGGGGCCATGGCCGGCCTCTCCCCTGGCCTTTGCACAGCCTCCTTACAGCCGGGTTAGCTCACCCCTCTGCCTGCCACTTCTCTGCTCTGTCTCCCAGCCTCCCTCCTGTCTTCACTCCGGTCACGTTGTTGAAACCAGGAGCAGAGCTTGCGTTGGATCCTTCCCTCGGGCCCAGGAGGCAGCTCCGCCCTCCGTCCTCTGCACTGTCTCTCTCAGCTCCATTTCCAGCTGAGCAAAAGTGCTAGCGAGCAGCTGTGCAGGAAAGAGAGGCCCCAGCTGCCAACCTGGCCCTGCATGTGAGACCCTGCCAGTGCCCACTGTCTCTAGGAACACTGGGCTGTTTTCCTTGGCTCTGAGGCGCACCCGTGCCCCACCCCCCAAACACACACACCCCACTGCCCACCCCCTGTGTGGCCTCTCTGGTCCACAGCTGGAAACCCGGAAGGAGCCCATGACAAACTTAACTGCCCTGTGGAGTCGGGCCTGCTGTCCTGCCTGCACCCTGCCCTCAGCCCTGCCTGGGCAGTACTTGTGCCACTAATGGCCCCTCCGCTGCACTGCTGTCCGGCGTGGCTAGTGAGACAGCCATTCTTTGGGAGGAAGGTGTGGGCTGCTGTCCTGGTCAGAGCTGGTGTCCTCCAGGGCCTCGAGCCAAATGGGGATGGATTGCCCCTCTTGATGGTAGGGTCTTGAGGCTACCGTAAGGGTTTTACAGGACTCCTGTGGGGCTTAGGTTGCAGGACCCCAAAGCCATGGGCCAGCTGACTTTAGAATCACCTCTACTGCCTCCAGGCCTGGGTTGGCTTGTGGGTGGGGCCGGGGCAAAGTTTAGCTGGAGGTGGAGTCACCACTGCCCTCGGCACCGCTGCTAGGAGTTCTGGGCGCGGGGGCGGGGCCTGGAGGGGACCTCGCTCCAAGGAGTGAAGAGCTGGGACGCCCTGGGACCGCGGGCACGTTCCCACTCAGCCGTTGAAACCCTTCCCTCTGTGTCAGGAGGCTGTTCCCTGGGTATCCCCACCCTCCGGGCTCCTGGTTCTCGGCTCCGGCCATTGGGGAGCGCGGTGTCACGTGTCGGGGCGGGGAGGTCGGAGTCCGGGTGTCGGGGCGAGATGGCGGCGGAGCAGGATCCCGAGGGGCGAGCGGCGGCACAGCCGCTGCTCACCGACCTGTACCAGGCCACCATGGCGCTAGGCTACTGGCGTGCGGGCCGGGCGTGGGACCCCGCCGAATTCGAGCTCTTCTTCCGCCGCTGCCCGTTCGGCGGCGCCTTCGCCCTGGCCGCGGGGCTGCGCGACTGCGTGCGCTTCCTGCGCGCCTTCCGCCTGCGGGACGCAGGTACCCCCGGGGCCCCCTCCCCGCCTGCAGCCCACCACCCAGACGGGACCCTCCCGCCCGACCAGCCCCCGACGAGGCCCCTTCCGCCGGCCGCATAAGATGTCTCTGCCACGAGCTCCCCCCAGCGCGCACTCGCCTCAGCCCACGCGGGCCTCTCGCCCACAGACGTGCAGTTCCTGGCCTCAGTGCTGCCTCCAGACACTGACCCCGCGTTCTTCGAGCACCTCCGGGGCCTGGACTGCTCCGGGGTGACAGTGCGGGCCCTGCCCGAGGGCTCCCTCGCCTTCCCCGGCGTGAGTGCTGGCTGAGCTGGACGGAGGGGTGGGCCTGAGCGGGGCTGGGCGGCGCGCAGCTGACACCCTCCCCGCAGGTGCCATTGCTGCAGGTGTCTGGGCCGCTCCTGGTCGTGCAGCTGCTGGAGACGCCGCTCCTCTGCCTGGTCAGCTATGCCAGGTGGGACTGACCAGCCCGGGGCGCGACTGAGCTCAGCATTCCCGGGGACCCACTCTTGCGAGTGTGGGCGTGGCTCCGAGCTCGGTGGGTGGGGCACAGGGTCTCGAAGAGGAGTCGGGCCTGGTTGCCTTGAGACCCTCGCCCAGGGTCCCCTGTCCCCTTGCTCCCCACAGCCTCATCGCCACCAATGCGGCGCGGCTTCGCCTGATAGCTGGGCCAGAGAAGCGGCTGCTGGAGATGGGGTTGCGGCGCGCTCAGGGCCCCAACGGGGGTCTAACAGCCTCTACCTACAGCTACCTGGGCGGTGAGGGCGTGGGGAGGGAGTTAAGGCTGGAGGGAGGAGGAGACTCGCCCCAGGGCCCCTGCCCCACTGCCTGAAGTCCCCCAACCCTGCCCGATGCCCTGGCCTAGGCTTTGATGGCAGCAGCAACGTGCTGGCGGGACAGCTGCGTGGTGTCCCAGTGGCAGGAACCTTGGCACATTCCTTCGTCACTTCCTTTTCAGGCACTGAGGTGCCTCCTGACCCAGTGAGTACCCCTCTGCCCTGCTACGCTCAAGGCCCGCCCTTGCCTGGGGCAGGGGCCCAGTTGCTGCCCTACACAAAGACAGATGCCATGCGTGGCCCACCAGCGACACTGGGAAGCTGGCTGGTGGGTGGCAGCACCCCTGCTCAGATCCTCAACCCCAGGCGAAGCAGGCCCCACCCTGCACTCTGGGTCCCCCATTTTCACTGACCCCTCTCCCTAGATGTTGGCTCCAGCTGCTGGTCAGGGCCCCAGGGTGGACCTGGCCGCCTGTGTGGAGGCATGGCTGGAGCGTGTGTGTGCCCACCTGGGGCTGGGCATACAGGAGCCACACCCCGGTGAACGGGCGGCCTTTGTGGCCTATGCCTTGGCCTTTCCTCGGGCCTTCCAGGGACTGCTGGACACCTACAGCGTGCAGAGGTGAGGCCCAGGCAGCCCCAGGGGGGCTCAGCAGAGCAGCTGCAGCCCCCCATCCTCTTGTCCTGCCCGCAGGAGTGGTCTTCCTAACTTCCTGGCGGTAGCCCTGGCCCTGGGTGAGCTGGGCTACCGGGCTGTAGGTGTGAGACTGGACAGCGGTGACCTGCTTCAGCAAGCCCGGGAGGTCCGCGGGCGCCTCAGGACCACTGCGGCCCAGTGAGTCCCTGGGAGGGGCTGTGCCTGCTGGGAGACTTTCTCTGGGGCAGAGTGAGGGAGGGACTGTGCCCTTCCCACAGAGAGGAGCTGAGTCCGCCACCTCCGTGGAGACACTGTGGCCCTGGTGGGGAGGCCAGGGCGAGGTGGCTGCGGGCAGATTCTCCCAGGGAGGGGGAGGGAGGGAGTCCAGGTGAATCAGAAGCTTCTGAGGGGCTCCCCCCGAATCCAGGTTCCAGGTGCCCTGGCTGGAGTTGGTCCCCATCGCAGTCAGCAACAACATTGACGAGGAAGAGCTGGCGCGACTGGCCCAGGAGGTGAAGTGGGGCAGGGGTTGGGTTGGGACAAGGGTTGGACAGGGGGTTGGGGCAGGCAGTGGGCAGGCACAGGGTGGCTGGAAGGGCCCCTGCTGCAAGCTTAGCGCCCCCTCCCCTCTCATCCTCCAGGGCAGCGAGGTGAACCTCATTGGCATTGGCACCAGCGTGGTCACCTGTCCCCGCCAGCCTTCCCTGGGCTGCGTCTACAAGGTGGAGACAGGGTCTGGGGCTCAGTGGGGGTGAGCCAGGGGCATCATGGGCTGGGGTGGAAGGGTCCAGCTCTCCAAACACCTCGTCCCCACAGCTGGTGTCTGTGGGAGGCCAGCCACGCATGAAGCTGACAGAGGACCCCGAGAAGCAGACGTTGCCTGGGAGCAAGGCTGCCTTCCGGCTCCTGGGCTCCGATGGTGAGGCCCTCCCACCCCACTAGCCCCCCTCAAGGCCCCAGCCCCCTATACTATTCTTGGTGTCCCTCCCACACGCATATGCAGGGTCCCTGCTGTTGGACTTGCTGCAGTTGGCAGAGGAGACCCCACCCCAGGCTGGCCAGGAGCTGAGAGTCTGGCCTCGAGGGGCCCAGGAGTCCTGTACTGTGAGGCCGTCCCGCGTGGAGCCGCTGCTGCAACTCTGGGTCCAGGAGGGACAGGTGACCACCCCACCCACCCCCTTAGTCTGCACCTGCAACCCAAATCGACCCCTGCCCCCTGACCTTGAGCCAACCCCTTCTCTCTTCCCCCCAGCTGTGTGAGCCCCTCCCGTCTCTGGCTGACTCGAGAGCCTTTGCCCAACTGTCCCTGAGCCGTCTCAGCCCCGCACACAAGAGGCTGGAGCAGCCTGAGCCGTACCAGGTGGGTGGAAGACCCACCTTGGCACCAGCCCTGTATGTCCCCTGCCCTTACTGCCACCCATTGTCCCCTCCTCTCCTCCCTGCAGGTGGCGCTGTCTGAGAAGCTGCAGGCCTTGGTGGACAGACTGGGTGCTAGAGGCCCCCAGTGAGAGCCCAATGGTGGGACTGCCCGAAATTAACACGAGTCACTCACTGCCCCCAACAACTCGTCATGTGTCATTTCTCCACCCTGCCTGCTACTCGCTGACCCCAAGAGCCTTCTGGTGGCTGGAGTTGGGAATCAAGAATGAGGGCTCACGCTCCCAGGAAGGGCCAGGCCCAGCCCGGATGGGGAGACAGCCTTGTGCTGAGGCCTCAGGGTGGCTGGGAACTAGGCCAAGGCTGGGGCTGGGCCAGCTTAGGGAGCTGGACCTCGGGGGCAGAGCCAAGCCTGGAGAGGGCAAGGCTGTGGGGAAGGGGAGGGCTTTGGTGTCCAGCCAGCAGCTGGGGGAGTCCCTGCGGAAGGCCTCTCCCTGCTAGAGGCTCAGGAGCTGGAGCCACCGGGTGAGGAGGTGCAAGAAAGGGGCTTGGGGTTTCCTGTGTCCAGGGGTGGCTCCCACATCTGCCAAGAGCACTGCCCTGGGCCCAGGTGTCCCCTCCTGCTGCCACCAGCCCTGCACAGCTCTGCCCTGGGGACCCTGTTTCCCTGGTCTCCATCCATCTGGTTCTCTCCAGACCCTGGCATCTGTCGCAAGGTCAGCCCCACCTGGGCCTTGTGGACCCAGCTCCTGACCTAGCAGCCCTGGGGAAGGAGAGAAGGACGTCAGGTGGCACTAGAGCCACCAAAGAAATTGGGCCAGTGGTCCTGGGCCGGCCGTGACTACAGGCAAGCTAGTTGGGTCTCCACCGGCTTTGTCAACTTAGGCTCCCGAGAACCCGCTCAGGAGAGGCTCTAGGCTCTGCATGACACAGAGGGCGGGGCCTGGGCCTCTCCCATCGGGGCAGCAGGAGGTGGCAAGGGCGGGCGGAAGGTGTGGGGGAATACTGGCTGGCTAGGACGCTTCCTGGAGCACTTCCGCCTGCCCCAGGTATGTGACCCAACCGGCTCTTCTGGTTCCTTGGGGTCAGGCTGGGCAGCGCCTGCTGTGTCGCTGGGTTAAACTGACAATGGGGATTGGGGGCAGAGGCCCGGTTAGGCCAGCCCTGGGGAGGCATGAGGCTTGGCGAGACACACACAGACACACACGCCAAAACCGGGTCCCAGGTACCCATAGGTCACCATGTCTCAGCTGTGTACTCCCTAGGTGCCAGGACCCAGGAAGCTTGTGGTCCAGCACTGGGGGGAGAGGGCCCCTCAGAACTGTCTGTGCAGGACGCAGAAGGCCCACCCCAATGATGGCAGTCACCTGCAAGAGCCCTGGGAGGAGGCGGGTGCAGCTCTCCTCACCTCACTTGCTCTGCCCCAGGACTGCCAGAGCTCAGAGGTGGCGACAGCTCTCCCAATCATCCCTGTCCCCAGGATGTCTGGCTGGGTTGGAATGCAGAGGGGACAGCCCAGCCCCTGGCCCAGGCCCAGCCTGGACTGCTTCTTTAGGGCTGAATCAGGCCAGGACTCAGCTCGGGGCTGGGTTTAGACTTCTGGACCCTGCTGGGGCCTCCTCAGGCTGTCCACACCTGCCGGATACCCCTGCTCAGCCGGGTTGGAGATCAGGGTGAAGGACCCTTCCCCTCCCCTTGCAAACCCGCCATCTCCTGGGAATCATGCCCCTTCCCCAGGGCCCTGATGGGCAAAGCCAGACTGCAGACCCTCAGGCTTCAGGCTGGCCGCTCAGCACCAGAAGCCAGGGCAGGAGGACCTCTCATAAGCCCCCCGTGGGCACCATGCCCGGGGAAACCTCTGTGTGGCTCCCCAACTCCCCTCTCCCACATAGAGATCACTTACAGGCCACCACGCCTGTCCCTGGTCCCGCCCCCTCCAGGACCTGCTTCTAGGTCAGGCCTGGGCACAACTTCCTGGGAGGACCAGTGGCAGGTGCTGCAGGCTGGGCCCCACTGAGGCAGCCATGGCTGGGGGGGTGTGGGGCCGGGGCCGGGCCCGGGGCGCCCCTGTTGGGGCTCTAACCCTGACAGCCCTGGCTGAAGGGATCCGGGCCAGTCAGGGACAGCCCGTGAGACTCCCTTCCAAGGACCCTCAGCCTGAACCTGAGCTTGAACCTGAGACAGAGCCTGGGCGTGTAGCTGCCAGCCCCACAGCTGCCCAGGAGCCCTGCTCCCTGCCCCATGCACAGGAGCCAGCCCCTGAGGGGCCCTATCAGGTGAGTGGGAGGGAAGGGAGGCCAAGGGGACCAGCCTGGTGGGGCAGGGAAGGGAACTGGGGGGAGGCACAGCAGGGAAGGGAACTGGGGGGAGGCACGGAGGCTATGAGGGCTGGGGAACCGCTGGGGAATGACAGGAGGACATGGGGACTTTGTCGGGAGCTAGCAGGGGGCCTGGGGAGGAGAACTGAGAGAGGCAAGGGACTTGACACACCCTACCCACCCTGTCCTAGGCCCCGCAGAGTTCCTGGAAGGAGGGGGCCTTGGCTGATCTGGCATTGTATACAGCTGCCTGCCTGGAAGAGGCTGGCTTTGCTGGGACGCAGGCCACAGCGCTTACCCTGTCCTCAGCCCTGGAAGCCCAGGGGGAGCGGCTGGAGGACCAGGTCATCCCCCACCCGCTTTCTGCCCCAGAGACTCCTGCCCTGTGCCCTCCAAGGTTGGGGTTGGAGCGGGCAGCCTGACACTGACACCCTTTCAGGCTGCACCTGCCCGGAGGGGATACAGAGGGTAATGCTGGGGTCAAGGAGGCCTGGCTGCTGACCTCTGCCTCTCTACGTCAGGTGCAAGCCCTGGTGCTGGGGCTGCTGGCGCAGGTGCCCAGCCTGGCCGAGGGGAGGCCCCGACGGGCAGCCTTGCGGGTGCTGAGCGCGCTGGCCCTGGAGCACGCACAGGATGTCGTGTGCGCGCTGCTGCCCTGCTCGCTGGCCCTGGACCGGTAACCCGCCAGGGCTGCACCCTCCCATCCCCATCCCCATGCAGCTGCCTTCCCCCTTCCCCCTTCCCGCTTGGCATGGAGTCTGGCCCCGGTGGGGCAGGTCGTGGAGGGGACAGAACCTCCAAATTCTCTCCCCGCTACTCCTGCCCCCCTCCATTTTCCCACCCCTTCCACGTCAGGGTTCTCGGTACTGGGTTCCTGGCTTGGGGCCTGCATTCTCCCTCCAGGTCGCCCCTGTAGTCCAGCCTCAGGGTGTGTAAGCCAGGTGGCTTCTATGGTTTAATTCACCATAGAAGAAGTTGTCTGATTTTATTCTCTACATGATTGTGTATAATGCCAGGTTTGTCTGTCGCTGGCCCAAGAGGGTTCTGAGTGGACCATGGTCTGTTGTGGTCTGCACAGATGGCACTTATTTTATTCCTCTGGGATTGGAAATGATGTAGGGGGAGAGGATATTTTACCTGCCCCCCCACTCCTGCTGGAGTCCTAGTGGCTGCCTCCACCCTGACCTGGGGTCCTGCATGCCAGCACGGACCCTGAGTCAGGCGCCCCATACCCCCAGGGCGGCGGCAGAGCTGTGGCGCAGCCTGAGCCGGAACCAGCGCGTGAATGGGCAGGTGCTGGTGCAGTTGCTGTGGGCGCTAAAGGGCGCGGCTGGACCTGAGCTGGAGGCATTGGCAGTAGGTGACTCCAGCCAGGACTGCCAGGGGATTGCCCTTACCGCTGGCCCAAGGGGGTGGGCAAGCCGGGCCACAGGGAGACTGGGCAGCAGGGTGTTGCCTGAGTCACACACATCCATAATGTCCCTCAAGTACCTGAGGCTCTGTCCTCGTACTGTCTGCGGTGCACCTGAGCCTGGGCGGGCCACTTGTTCCACAGGCCACTCGCGCCCTTGGGGAGATGCTGGCTGTGTCCGGCTGCGTGGGCGCTACACGCGGCTTCTACCCGCACCTGCTCCTTGTGCTGGTCACGCAGCTGCATGAGTTGGCCCGGGGCGCACGCTCCCCCAACACCTCCAAGGTTTGGACCCCATCCCAGCAAGGGCCACGGCACAGCCACGCCAGGTGAGGGTTGCACACTGGGGGAGCTGAGGGCTGGATCAGCGCCCTCCCTGCCCTCACTGCCCTCTTGCCCGCTGCCCCCACCCCCAGCTGCACAGTGGAGGCCTTGAAAGCCCTGCTCACCGGGGATGGCAGTCGTATGGTGGTCACATGCATGGAGCAGGCTGGAGGCTGGAGGAAGCTGGTGGGAGCCCACACCCACCTGGAGGGTGTCCTGCTGCTGGCCAGGTGTGGCACAGGGGAGTGGGGGAAGAGGCCAGGGCATGAGGGTGGTCGGGTGGGGGCTTCTCCAGGGGTGAGTCCCTAAACGGAGGGAGAGCTGCCATTTGGCCCCATCCCAGTGCCATGGTGGCCCACGCGGACCACCACCTGCGAGGCCTGTTCGCTGACTTGCTGCCCAGGCTGCACAGCGCCGATGACACGCAGCGCCTCACGGCTATAGCCTTCTTCACCGGGGTGAGCCTTTTTCCGGGATGGGTGATGAGGGGTGACCGTGGACTTGGCCCCTAAGCGGTGCCGCCAGCACCGGGACCGCGAGCGTCCTGACCACGTGTCCCCCGCCCAGCTGTTGCAAAGCTGGCCCACCGCGCGGCTTCTGCGGGAGGAGGTCATTCTGGAGCGACTCAGCGCCTGGCAGAGTGACCCCGAGCCCACCGTGCGCTGGCTGGGCCTGCTTGGCCTCGGCCACCTCGCGCTGAACCGCCGGAAGGTGAGGGACTGGGCCGGCCAGGACTGAGCGGGGGTGTGCGAGCGGCTCCCCACGATCCCTGCCTCCGCAGGTGCGGCACGTGAGCGTGCTGCTGCCCGCACTCCTGGGCGCGCTGGGCGAAGGCGATGCGCGGCTTGTGGGGGCCGCGCTGGGCGCGCTGAGGAGGCTCCTGCTGCGGCCACGGGCGCCCGTGCGGTTCCTGAGCACAGAACTGGGGCCGCGCCTCCCACGGCTGCTGGACGACGTGAGCACCGCCCCGCCCCTTCAGGCCCCGCCCCTTCAGGCCCCGCCCCTCTCCCCGGGCTCCCCCACCAGGCCCCGGCTCGCTGTGCCCAGACGGCATCCCTTCTGAAACCCTCTCCCTCGTGACTCCCCCTGACTGGGCCCTCCCACGCAGGCTCGGGACTCGGTCCGCGCCTCTGCAGTCGGGCTCCTTGGGACACTGGTGCGGCGGGGTCGGGGCGGGCTCCGGGTGGGGCTCCGAGGCCCCCTGCGGAAACTGGTACTGAAGAGTCTCGTGCCGCTGCTGTTGTGCCTGCATGACCCCAGCCTGGACGCTTCTGAGGTCAGCCGCCCCCAAGATTGTCCCACCGCTGTCCCCATCCAACACCACCCATCCCACGGGGCTGTATCTCCTAAGATGGTCGGTCAGGGACTTCCCCAAGGGACCCTGTTACAGGTGTCATGGGCTCACAGGTTCCTGGGCCTCCTGCCCTGGGCTTCTCCACCCCTCATCCTGCCCACACCTCTGCCACTTTCTGGACCCCTAATCCTGCTCCCTTCCCATGTCCCAGAGCTCAGAGTGGACCCTGGCGCGCTGTGACCACGCCCTGCGATGGGGCCTGCTGGAGGAGATGGTCACTGTGGCCCATTACGACAGCCCTGAGGCCTTGAGTCGCATCTGCCACCGCATGGTCAGTAGGGGAGCACAGGGACAGTGAGGGGGTGTGGTCAGCCGCCCACTTGGCCGAGTAGACCCAGGGACCACTGCCCCCAAACTGAGTCTCCTCACTCTCCCAGCCAAGGTGGTGGCAGGCCCAAGACCTCCAGCCCTGACCTCTTGCTGGGGGGCTCCCCGGGGGGGGGGCTCCCCAGGGGATACCAGCCCCTGGGCTCACCTCTGCCACCTCCTCTCCATGTGGGATTGGCTCTCCTGTCCTGCCATGAGCCCTTCTGTCCCCAGGTGCACTGGTACCCGAGCCACGTGCCCAGATTCCTGAGCCAGACCCAGGGCTACCTGAGGAGCCCACAGGACCACCTGCGCCGGGCAGCTAGCGTGCTCATAGGTGAGGCAGTCCCGGTGTCACACTGTCCCTCCTGCCCAGAGCTCTGGAATCTGGGGGCATGGTGTCAGCCTTATGGGTTTGCCTTTGTCCAGGCTTCCTTGTCTATCACACCAGCCCCAGCCACGTCAACCAGGACCTGGTGGATTCCCTGTTCCAAGGTGAGGACCCACCTCGCCAGGGCACAAGGTCCCAGAGGGCGGTGGATGCTGGGGTGGAGTGGGTGGGAATGGATGGGCGGAGGGCCAGGAGTCCTGGGGCGCTTGGCGGTCCTGAGTCCTCCCTCCCGCCCTGCCTGAGCTGCCCTGTCCCCGCAGACCTGGGGCAGCTGCAGAGTGACCCCGAGCCGGCCGTGGTCGCCGCTGCGCAAGTATCCTCCCAGCAGGTGGCGCTGCTGGTCCGCGCACAGGGCCCTCGGCGGCGCCTGAGTTTCCGCCGCCTTCGCCTTCGCCTTCGCCCCGCCAGCCCCTCCCGGCCCCTGCCAGTCTACCCCGACAGTCCCTTCCGGCGCCGGAGTGTCGCAAGCCGCTGGGGCTGCTCCGCACCCGGTTGAGCGGACCCAGCGCCCTCCCTCCGGGTGGGAGTCATGGGCCTGAGCCTGGCACCCCACCGCTCTGTTGCCAGTCCTGGCCCACTCCACTTGAAGGGCACCCTGGGCCTGGTGCTGGATGCCAGTGTCTGCCCCCTGGAGCCACTGCGTGGCCTGATGCACACGAAGACACCTCCAGGAGCTCACCACCGTGATGGCCACGTGCCCTAGAGTGACAGCAGTGTTTCTGTCTGTACCATTTCACTTTCAGCCCACTTGCCTCTTGCCTCTCCCGAGCCGGGGTCTGATGGGGGACACTGACGCTGGCACAGCCCTGTGAGCTGCTGCTCTGATAGGCTGCCTGCTGCCTGAGCCTCTGCCCCAACCTGCTGAGGCTCCCTGCCTGTCTGGCCCCTGCTGGCTACCCAGCAGCCCTGCACTGCCCACCAGTTCCCCTACTCCTTGTCAGCCCGTGTCCTGGCCCAGGTCCTCTCTGCTCAGAAAACATTGACCTGTATCCCTGTCCACACCTGCTGCCCCACCAGCCTGGCACCATTCCCAGACACCCCCACTACCGCTTATTGTGTCAGCCCCGCATGAGCTGACACAATAAGTGAAGCCCTGACCCCTTGCTTCACTGGACACCACAGGCCTGGGTTAGGTGTGGGGTGTCAGCATCTGCACCCCTGCCACACTGAGCCTTCATGCCAGGGTTGGGAAGAAGGCGTGACTGGACGTACAGGGAAGAAATCCCTCCGCAGGCCACCCAAGCTGTGACCAGGCCCCTTTGGGCCCTGGCCCTGGGGGTTCCTCCACCCAGAATGTTCATCTTGAAATGCCCTCCTCCCGGGACCTGCCGCCTCACAGAGGCCTCGACAATTTGAGGGCTGGGGTCAGTCCCTCCAGACTGGGGACACCTCAAGGGCAGGTCTGGGGTCCTGCCTGCCCCCTATGGAAACTGTCTGAAGTAAAGAGCTGTGGATCAAAGGGGTCTGGCATCTGTCTGGGGCGCGGGTCATGGCCAAGAAGGAGGCTCTGATGGGCTGCGCCTGGTCCTAGATCGAGCTCAGGTTGGGATTGTGGGTAAGGCAGTGTGTGGGCAGGAGGAAGAGGTTAGAGGTCAGGCAGGTTCAGGGTGCAGGCGTGTGGCCAGATCAGGCTGGGTTTATGCTGTGGGTTGGAGCTGAGCGAGGAAAGTGGCGGGGTCTTGTAGGTGACCCCAGGGCAGGGCAGGGTCAGGCCAAGGGCATGGTCTGTGAGGAGCCAGGGTCATGATTTATTAGTTCAGATCTTACAAAGCAGATGCCAGACAGATAAACCACGTGAAAGGCATCAGGGGGTATGCTGGGCAGGCCAGGAGGCCCACAGACCCCCATGAAGGAGATGGGGAGAGAAGGAAAGGTGGTGGGCACGTCCTGCACACCTGTGCTGGCTTCGGGGGTCTCAAGCCAACCCCCATCCCTTCCCCCACAGTCAGGGGAGCCTGCAGCTCCCAGGACTGGTGCCCCCTGCAGGGCTGGGTTTCCATCCGGCGTTGGGGGTCTGTGAGGAGCCCTCTCACAGCCTCCACTCAGGCTGGGCCTGGGGCTGGGTACAGCAGGAGCTTCCCAGGACCCCTCAGTGGCAGCCCCCACTCCTTGCGGCCTAGGAGCCAGCCCCCGGGGTGAGCGTTCATGCCCACTTTTCCCACTTCTTACCGCAGAGAACAGCTGGACAGGCCAGTGGCAAACCCTCAGTGGTGCACACATCATGGGGTTCCAGGAAGGCAGCACCCCGCCTCTTCCCACCCCTCCTTTGTGGGGCCTGAGAGCCCACACCCACCCTGCAGCAGCTGTTTGGAGCACACACAGGCTGTTTGTTGCATAACACAGCTTCTTGCTCAGTCACGTGTTCTGCCCCCCCTCCCACCCCACACACACTATGGCCCCTGCCCAGTAGCTGGCAGTCCACTGGATGCCCTGCCTGATAGGTTGAGGTTCAGCAAATCCCGCATGGCCTGAAGGCCAGACTGTTGCTGGGCCCTGGGAGTGTGACCCTTCTCGGGGACGTCTGTGCTAGGGGCTCCAGGAGGCCCCAGGTGGAGCAGTGGCTTGGTTCACCAGAAGCTGCCCTTGTCCCCATGACTGCCGTAGCGCTGCCCCCGGGGTTTTCTGTCCACCCGCAGAGAACCCATCTGCTGGGGTCAACAGCCAAGCACTTCTTTCCCCGCACAGCCCTCCAGCCTTGATCTCGACACAAATACTCCCATGTGGGCTATGTCCCTGGGGACCTCAAGGCATTGGGGGGCCTAGAACCCAAGGGCCAACAATCAGATCCTCCAATGGGGCCTGGGTGGGACTTCCCGGGCCCTCTTTCCCCTGGCCTGGAGGGTAGAGTGCCAGGGCCCCAAAAGTGCCACTCCTGTACCTGCTCATTTAATGCTTTCTGACGCCTGGGCTCTTCCAGTCCCACTCACGTTGCTTTTGCCTGTCAGGTCACCCTAACCAGGGTTCCCCTGGAGGGACAAACAGGCCTGAGAGGCCTCCAGCTTCCTCGCTGTGTAGGAGACAATTTCTTGGGGGTTCCTGTAACTGCATCTGGGATGTTTGGGGGGCACTGTCTTCTGTTTCAATTTCAATGTTGGGCTTGGACCCTGGGTTTGTGTGGGGTTAACGTCCCAGCCACAGCCGGACCTTCTGTTCTTCCTTTTGATGGAGTTGTTAAGCTGAGTGCCCCTGGAGTGCTCCAATGGACCAGTGGTCCCTCCTCCCCCTGAGGAAAGGCAGCCTTCTCCTGGCTGCCCCAACACCCAGACATGTGGAAAGTTCCACTGATCAGTTGCCAGGCCCAACCTGGCCACTCCCCCATGCAGCCCCTGCACGCCCTGAATCCTGCCACTGTGCCAGGAGGCTTGCGCTCGGGAGATTTACCTCTGAGCGGATGTATCTGGATGAGACGCAGACCCAAAGCCAGCTGCTCTGGCATGGGTCACTGCTTCTCCAAGAGCCTCCACGTGGCCCCAGGAGCATAGCGTCTGTGTGCCAGTCAGCCACAGATGCTCTAGTCCCCTCTGCAGCCCCCCGCAGGCCGAGGATGGGCCCACTACCAGCAGCACTGTGTTCTCAAGTTCCCGAGGCAGACAGAGGCCCATCCTGGTGGAACTGCTCTGCTTCAGTCTTTCATAGGCCAGCACGCTGGGGAGGGGCCAGGGGTCCAGCCATGCATGACCAGGTCCAAGCACAAGGCAGGCTCCCCTTAGCCCCATGGTGTAACAGGATTGAGATCACGGGGGAGATGCCTGCTCTCAGCCCCTGTGTCCTTCCTTATCCTGTGTGGGCAAGTTCCCACCCTTGCCCCCTATCCCAGGTCTAGGAACCCTAAAAAATTCACTGATCCATCTTCCTTTTGTAAGTCGAATTTATTGGCTTTCCCCAACTCCTGAGCTCTGTGGTGGACAGGCCTCTTGGCTGGGTTTGGGCTCTGGCCTTCCCAGGGCTGGCAGCTGGGTGGGCATGAGCTCTGCCCCCTGAGAGCAGCCCAGGCACGTAGGTCTGCAGGCTAGCAGAGCTGGCTCAGTTTCAACAGCAGGGCCAGGCAGGCATAGAGCGCACATGTGCAGCCCTGGGCCTCCGGCTCCCAGCACACCTGGGGGGCGTCCACCTGCAGCTCCAGACCACACCCCTCCAACAGGCCCCAGGCGGGTGCTTCTGAGCCCCAGCTGCTGCCCAGGAGCTCAGGCAGCAGGGACACGGCCCTGCGCTCCTCCCATGGGATGCTCTGCTCCAAAAGGCCCTCCACCTGCCAGGACAGGGTGGGCGGTTGTCAGTGGGGCCCCCAGGCATCCAGTGCCCACCCACAGCACCCCCTCCCAGAGGTACCTGGGCCCCACCCCACATGCCCCAGCCCTTCCCCCTCCACCTGTGCCCGCTCACCAGCTTCAACGGCTCCAACAGGGACCTGGCCTCCAGCATCTGGGCCAGCAGCACGTGCTGGGTCTCACTCAGGGCTGGGGAGAGACCTCGGGTGAGAGAGGCTCGGGAAGGCCAGCTGGGCAAGCCCACATCCCTGCCCCCTATCTGCCCCGCCCCAGGGCCCTCACCAGCCAGCGCTTCCAGCAGGTAGAAGATAGGGCCAGCGAGCTCCTTGACTACTGTTCTGCAGGGGAGCACCAGGCACTCCAGGATGGCACCCGCTGGGCCTGACAGAGGCTCCACCCGCCCCAACTGCTGGCCCTGCTCCAGCTGGGGAGACAGGGGGCAGTGAGCCTGGATGGCCTGGGGCAGGCCCCACCCCTCTCACCCACCCTCCCAGTCCCAGACAGCTTGCTCACCGATTCCTCCAGGGCCTGTAGGACCTGTAGGGCCTGCTGGTCCCACAGGACCTGCCCCAGGACCCCTAGCAGCTGCCCACACAGCGTCTTAGAGAAGTTCTCCAGGATCTCGGCACAGGCGTTCACCTCCATCTGCAGGCCCTGGAAATCTTCAGTAAGCACCAATGAGTCCTCGGTGAGCCCGTCTGTGGGGAAAGGGTTGGCATTGCCCCGATGCCCATAGAGCCCTGGGGAGCCTTGGTCAGGAAGGGTAGACCCCCAGGGGGCCCAGGGGTGGTCAGGAAGGTACTGACCCGACTGGATCTTGAAGTGGTCATAGATGGACTTTATCATGGAGAAGCCGGAGGACAGCCTGCGCTGGTCACCTGCACCTCCTGGAAGCTTGGATTCTGGCCGGGGCAGGGATCGTCAGTGCAGGGTGTGGGTCCCCGAGTCAGGGAGCCCTCACAGCCCCTCGTCACCACCCCGCACTGGTGACCAGGGCAGGGAGCAAGGCCGTGCCACCCTTGCGTGCGTGCTCCCGTCCCCAGCCCTCAAGTCTCCCGGCTGCCCCGTGCTTGCTATGCAGAAGGCCTCAGCTGCCAGGAGCTCACCCCGCTGCCTGGGCCATGTGGGGGCTCCACGGGCCTCACCTGCCTGGAATGTCACGAAGGTCCTCTGCTTCTTGTTTAGGATGCCATGGATGTCTGGCAGCCGGGTGGGGGCAAAGGTAGGGAGGCAGGTTGAAGGGGGCCCCCAGCCTGCCCCTCCCCAACTGAGGCTCCCCTGCGCAGTTCCCGCAGTGTGCCCCAACTACCCTCACACCAGAGCACAGGACCCTCGGCCACCCAACCCAGGATGCTGTGCAGCCAGATGCCAAAGCACCCCCATTCAGCCGATGGCCCTTCCCAGGCTTCCCTGAGTTTTTGCCATGGAGTCTGGGCCCCAGAAGTCACCCCAATCCCGGCTCACTCAAGTCAGAGCCAGTGATAACGAGCTGGGCCACCCGGAACGCGAGGATGCTGCCCGAGGGGATGGTGACTGTCTTCTTCCGGTTCATGTGGCCCTGGCCCTCGACCTGAGGGGTAGATCTGGGCTCAGGACAGGGCTCTGGGGTAGGGGCCCAGGCGTGGGCTGGTGCAGGGGTCTGCTTCAGACGCCGCCCTCCTGCCCCGTGGCCCTGTCCTCGGCAGGGCCATGCTGCACACCTGCGAGCCTATGGCTCTGGGCAGCGCCAACTGGCCTGAGCCTTCCTGCTTGCGGGTCTGGGTGACCTCCACCGCCTCCTGTGTCTGCAGCACCTCAGTCACCATAAACACGTCATCCCCACGGTTCCGAAGCTGCTGCAAGACTTTGTGTTCGGGCTGCCGCAGATGCCTGTGGTAGGTGACAGGCAGGCCGAGAGATTCACGGTGCACAGTGGGGCGCATCCGCCCTCTCCCATCTCTGCAGGGACGGCTTTCCTTCCCAGGACCTAAGCCTTTGCACCCATCAAGGGGGGTGACAGGGCCAAGGGGACCAGGACCTCTGTGGATGCCCAGGCACAGGGAGCCCCTTCCCAGGCGGTCCCGACAGTGTCTGTGGATTGGTGGCGGTGCCGGGGCCAGTGGAGGTCTGCAGCCCCTGGAGGTACCCACCCCCTCAGCCAGCTGCTCACCAGGCCACTGCCTCCCTCTGTCCCCTGAGTTCGTTTCAAGTCTCCACTCTGAGGTGTCCCCATGTCTGCTCGACTGCAGCAACCTAGCCTCCTCTCAGCGGCCTGGGGCTCGGTCTGACCCAGGTCACCTAGGTCCTGCCTGGGCCCTCAGGGTGCAGGCCCCCAGGACCTCTGCAGCCTCCTTCTGAAGCGCACTGGTCCCAGCATGCCCTGCCTCTGGGACTTTCCTCCCGTGGTGCTGACCCTCAGCCTGGCACAGACACCCCGTGACTTCGGCTGCTCCAAAGTGACCCAGTGGCTAGCTGGGGTCAGCAGGGTCCTGCACCTGAGGGCTCACCTCTCTCGGAGCATGGTATCCCAGGTGTTGGGGCTCACTCGCAGCGTGCACACGTTCAAGGAGGCGCTGGAGCTGCCAGATACTGCAGCCCCAAATGCAAGCTTCCCCTGTCCTGGGGCCATCACCTTCACGCTGACCTGCTTATTACTGTCCACGGTGTCTTGGAAGTGGATGGGGCTGACACACTCGACAGCTGAAGCAAGACCAAAGGTGAGGCCCCATCCTGCTGGCTGCACCTGTCCCACCCAGGTAGGGGACCTGTGAAAAGGACCTGCCCTCTGGAAGCAGACAGCCCAGAGCAGGCATCAGGCTGGCCCCCCCACTTTCCTCCAGCCAGGGCTCCGACTCAGTGCCAGGTGGAGTACCTGGTTCCGGGTCGCTGGGCTCCAGGATGTCCCTGATGAACAGGCCAACACATACATAACGGCGTCTCCAGAACCATGAGCTGGAGGACTTCTTGCTCAAAAGGCAGTAGGGCTGGAAGCTGGCAGAGTTTTGAAGGCTGTCCATGGGGATGAGCTCTCCATTGCGGTCCAGTTCCCGGACCACGCGCTTGACCACCCACTCAAAGATCGACGCCATGCTCCTGAGGAGGGCAGATGGGTCAGGCATTGCGCCCTAGGGCTGGAAGCAGGGGTGGAGATGGGGGTATGGTAGGCACTTGGATGCCTCCAACAACGGGGGAGCGCTTTCCCTCCAGAGCAATGCTGCACGGCCAGTCCCGGGATGCTCTGACTGGCAGAAAGCTCCGGACCCGCCCATCACCCAACACAGAAGGAAGCAGCGTGTCCACCCTGTCATCCACTAGTCCCTATCTCCACGGGGCTGTGAGCACAATGACATCAGGTCATTCACACCATCTGTTCTGGGACCAGAGTGCCCACACGAAGCCCAAGAAAGCCCTGGACGATCGGTGATGGGGACCACTGAGGCCTCTACCACTTTGTCAGCCCAATGAGGCTTAGGGCTGCCACCAAGGGAAGGCAGAGCAAGGCGGGGGCCCTGGGTGACCCCCAGGCCAATGGTCTACCTCCTGTAGCAGCTGTCGCCTTGGCTGAGGGGTTCAGAGGGTGGGGAAAGAAATGCAAGCCACCACTTCCTGGGTTCTTGGCAAAGGCCCCACAGCAAGACTCAGCCAGAGTGTCCCAAGCGCCCAGGCATGTCCTCTAGGGCTTTCTCTGTGCCCAGAGCTTCGTGAGCTACTTGTCAGAGGCTGAGGCTTCAGAGGTCAGAGGTCAAAGCTGGCCAGAGCCAGGGCAGGAGACCTGGGCCCCAGGCAGAGGACCAGCCAGTCCCACTCCAGGAGAAGGCCTCTGAGCCTCAGTGGCTGGTCTGAAATTGGAGGGTGGGCCAAAGGGGCACCTGGAGGGCCCACCCCGCAGTCAAGCCCAAACCCAGCTGGGGCTGACGACGGGTAGCTTTCCCAGAGGCCCGGAGCTTCCCCAAGCGGGCCTGGATTATGGGGAGTCCTAAGAGGGTGCTGGGACCAGGTCACTGCTCAGAAGAACCGGCACCCCCCACCCAGTGCAAGCAGGACCACCCGGGTTCCAGGGGGTGCGGGGCGCAGCTCACCGTGACTGTAGCACCCAAGCTCTGGCCTGCAAAGCGAGGTGAGGCTGCCCAGGCCGTTCGTGCCGCGGGGGCCCTGAAGCTGCTGACTGCTGAACGTGTACCGCCTGCGGGCGCCCAGGCCCAAAAGTGAAACCGGCAGACTGAGCCTGCGCCCGCCCCCCCCCCCCATGTTCCCGGAAACGCCCCCTCATCACCACCACCTCTGCCCTCTGCCCGCCCACTGCACTCCTCGGCAGTTTCTCAAAACTGTGGGGCGTGGTAGAGGGGCCCAGTGGATATTTCTTCAAAGAAGATGTACAAATGGCCAACAAGCTCATGAAAAGGTGTAAATCAAATCACGGTGAGATGCCCCTTCCCACCAGTGAGGGACTGGTGGGAAGGAGCTAAGCGCAGGGGAAGGTGGGGAGGGAGAGAGACGCACTCTGCTGGGGGGAGGGGGAGACCCTGGCAGCCGCTGTGGACGTCAGAGTCACTGCACGCCCCATCCAGTCCACTCCTAGGTATGTACTCAGGAGAAGTGAAAACACTTCCACGCAAAATCAGCATTCACCTTCACACAGCAGACTCATAACAACCCGAATGTGACAACACCTCCGTGTCCACCAACTGATACACAGGTGAACGAAACAGGGTAAATCCACACGGGGAAGACAGGAGAGGGTGCCGTTCCGTTACAAAATGGAGTGACGTTCCCACACGCGGTACAACATGGATGAACCCCCAAACATTATCCTAGCCGACAGAAGCCAGCTCCAAAGAAAACACATCACATGATACATGCACACCAAGTATCCAGAGAGACATAAAGTAGATGGACAGTGCCAGGGCTGTGGGGGGAGGTGAGGAGTGACAGCTAATTTTTTCCGGGTTGATGAAATGTTCTCAAGTTACTTGTGGCAATGGTTGGTTGCACAACTCTGAATATGCTAAAACCCACAGATTTTTACACTGAAATGGGTGTTAGGCCATATGTAGGCCAGAAGCAGCAACTTTCTTATCCTAAAAGCTATCTGCTCTTGCTTTGTACCTTGTACCTGCCGGCTTGTTTTTGCCTTACGCCTGGAGAAGCCTCCTGGAATGTAGAAACCACCTTATCCTAAAAGCCCTCTTGTCTGACTTTGTACTTTGTACCTGCTGTCTTGAGTTTGTCTCCTAGTGGCTTATGATCAGCGGGCCTGGGCAGTCTAGACAGTGGCCTGGAGGCCAGGATGTGGAACCTGAGGGGTCCCCAACATCTTTTGTTGTGAGAGACAATGCAACGAAGAAGCCTCTGAAGCACTGAAAGGGGAACAGCCTCGTTTACACACACACACACACACACACACACCTCACCACCCCCCCCACCCCTTCCCCCATAAAACTCCATACCCCTTTTTGCTCGGGGTGGTCTTTTCTAGCCTGACTTCCTACAGCTCAAACATGCCCAATGAATTCTAATAGACCAATTTTGGTGTCCCACGACTCTTTCCTCCTGCCGTGCCTAACAATGGGTGAACAGTATGGTGTGTGACTTATATCTCAATAAAGCTGTTATTTAGAAAATCTGGGGGTTGGTTACCACATGGAGGTGTTGGGAGTGTGGCATGCCCAGAAAGGACATGGAAACTCTGTGCCCCTTTCCACATGCCTTACCCTATATGTCTCTTCATCTGGCCATTGATTTGTATCCTTTAATAGCCTTTGTATTGTAATAAATCGGTAATGTAGTGAGTTAATTGGTTTTCCTGAGTCCTATGAGCTATTCCAGCAAATTAATCAAACCTGAGGAGGGGGTTGTTGGAACCTCCAATTTGTAGCCAGAAATTTGCTCGATCAGAAGCACAGTAACAACCTGGGCTGGCGACTGGCATCTGAAACCCAAGGGGAGGGAGCAGTCTACAACACTAAACCCTTAACCTGTGGAATCTAATGCCAGCTCCAGTTGGACAGTGTCAAAGCTGAGTTGCATTTCTGGATACCCTGCAGGTGTCTGAGAATTGCTTGGTATTGTGAGTGTGGGAAGCCCCCACCCCACCTTACACATACACATTGGAATTGGGTTCAGGAACCCTTTTCGGTGTGATAATATACTATTTTTATTAAAAGTACGTATTTTTACATTTATATATCGTAATATTTGTGGATAAAAGGACAGTGTCTGAGATGTGCTTAAAATAATTCAGCGGAAGAGCAAAAATGTGGGGGGATGGAAGGTAGAGATGCTAAACCATTGGGTGGCACGGGCTAATAATTGTGGAAGTTGATTGATGGATACATGGAGGCCCAGTATACTACTTGCTTGACTTTTGTATTTTTGCAATTTTCATAGTAAAAAGTTTTAAAAGTTATTTTTTGTAGATAATCAGAGAAATTTGAGTATAGATTGAGTATCAGATGATATCAGGGAATTACTGTAACTTTTGTTAGGTGCTTAATAGAATGGTGGTTATGCAAAAAAAAAAAAATCCACATCAGTTGGACTTGCATTCTGAAGAGTTTGTGGGTGAAACTGAAATGACATGGTATACAAGATTTATTTTCTTAATTTTTTTAGCTGAGCCATCCTGCCACCTGTTGGCAGCTCAGCGGCAGCTCAGCTCAGGCCAGGAATCGAACCAGGAACCCTATTGCTCAGAGCTCGCACTCTTGAGCGAGCTCTTAACCAACTGAGCCACTCGGCCGGCCCTACAAGATTTATTTTAAAATATTCTAGCCAAAATGAAACAAGTGGGAAGGAATAGGTGGGAAAAAAAAGAAAGAAAGAAAGGAAGGAAGAAAGAAAGAAAGAAAGAAAGAAAGAAAGAAAGAAAGAAAGAAAGAAAGAAAGAAAGAAAAGAAAAAATCTGGAGCCAAGCGACAATATCCAGGCCTGTTACAGGCGCCTCAGTGCCCTCACTGTCATGGGTCACATGAGAATCATGTCTGGTGCAAGGCAGCGGGTCCCCACACCCCTCCTTCCCCTCCACATCCTGCTGGTGGCCTTTCACCCATGACACCTGGCACACCAGGGCTGGCCTGCCTGCCTGAGATGCCCTGAGAGCTCCCCCACACTCAATCACTCAGCCAGCACCTGGGCCAGGTGCTCTTCCCATGAGGCTGTCACAGTGAACCTGACGAGGCCTCTGCCAGGCAGAGTGGCTGCCAGCGCCCAATGCCAGCCCTGGGACGGTGTTTTCCAGTGCTGTGTGCTGGCGAGTTGTAGCTGTGGTGGCTGGAAGGGTTGCTTCAGACAGGAAACATGATCTCATGCAAGCACAACTTCCCACCTGCTGGGTACGCAGGCCAGACACAGGTGGGCGCAGGCCATGGGTAGGGGTCATGCAGGGACTAGCCTGCTCCAGGGCTGGCCTGGGCTCTCTGAAGCTGGCTCTCTCTTCACGTCGGGAGCCTCAGGAACAGGCCTCAGGGGCTCTGGGGCGGTGGGCGCCCATCCCAGCTCTGGTCCAGCCCCTGGGGCCACTGGCTGCTGTGACAGGGCATGTGGCGGTGGCAGGAGGCTCCAAGAGCCGAAGTAGGGCTGAGTGTGAGTACATGCGCGAGCGTCCGCATATGTGTGTGCATGCTGTAGGCACACACGTGTCTGTTCACATGTGTGCGTAGTGTCTTGTGTGGCGTGTTTGTGCATGTGTGGATGTCTGTACGGCTGTGTGCTTGTGTGTGCATTGGAGGGCCGGGGAGGCTGCACGGTGGTCCTCCCCATCTGCTCCCCAGGCAAAGCTCTGCCCGGACCGTCTCCAGTCCTGTTACTCCTTATCTACATCTCTCCAGCGGCCAGGCTCCAGGCCAAGGTCAGGAGGCGGAGGCCTGCTCAGCAAGATAACCTCACTGTGGGTTTCCAGCAGGCGTGTGACCTGCCCTGGTTTATTTTTCTAGAAAGCCTTGGTTGCTGAATGGGAAAATAGGGTGGAGGCGGTTGTGCAGCCCCAGGGACTCGGTCTGAGACAGAGGTGCCAGGCAGGTGCCATCCACATGGCACCCGGGGATGGTGTGGCACACTGCACCCACCTGCCTTGAGGCAGTGACCTGGGGCTGTGGGGGGGGGGCAGGTGCAACTTCTTGTTCACGTTGTCAGTTCTTTAGTAACTAAAACAAGTGGTGCTGGGCTAGAAGAGTGGTGGTGTCTCCTGGACTGACTCACACAGGACAGAGGTCAGCCTGTGAGGACAGAAAGTGTGCGTGCTGGGGAGAATAGGAGGAAGGAAGGTGGGTGGGGTTGGCAATGAACCCCATTTCCATCCATTGCACCCGTGGTGGGTGGAGACAAGAGGACATCTTGACAGCCAGAAACTCTGGGGCGACATGATGTCCTCCTCACAGTCACCCTATGTTATGTGGAGGTGGGTGAGGTCACCCTGCGCAAGGTCTGGGCAGCCCCTGGGGGTCCTGAGCTGAGGAGGATGCCCTGTCCCCACTGGCGAGCTGTGAGCAGGGACTGGGAGGAGCTTTCTGGCTGGACAAGGAGTCAGCAGCCTGGGCAGGCTCAAAGGAAGGGGAAGTACACAGCCATGAGCCCCCTGTCTCCACCCACCCATGTAAGGGGCTGGCACCCCGCCAAGCACGCTGGGAATGCAGCGGTGGCAGGCAGTGTCCCTGGGAGGAACTGAGCGGATCATTAAGATCCGGGAGATAACCCCAAGAGCGCACTGGAGGGCGCAGCTGGGCGATACTGCGGAGGAGATGGGGACAGTGGGCTTAGAGAGAGGAGTGAGGCAGCTGCGAGCCGAGCCAGAAAGGTACAGCAGAGGCCAGGACGGCGTGAAACCGGGTGGGGTGCAGCAGGCAAGAGGAACCCACCCACGCTTCATAGGAGGTCCAGGCTGGCTCCATCCGAGACACAGACTCCGAGGCGAGCGAGGCCTGGAGTACCGGGGCCGCAGGGACGCGGGACAGGCGCGCGGGCGGGGCCGCTGGCTCTGCGATAGGGGCCGGGACAGTTTTCCGAGCTCGAGTCGGAGCAGCCCGGGGCCCGCCCCACCCTGTGCGGACCTCGGGGTGACAGTCCGGCGTTTCCGGGGTGCCAGGAAGTCGGCGCCCAAGCCCTCGGCAGCCCCACCCGCCTTGACCCCTCCCCTGCCCCGTCTTTGCCCCCTTCCCGCCCCTCCCCTGTCCCGCCCTGCCTACGCCCAGGTCCGTGCGCGTTGTGCCGGGCTACCTGGAACCCATGCTGGGCAAACAGGTCTGCCGAGCGCCCAGGCGCCGGAACGCGACGCGGCCGGGATTAAAGAGGCGCTGGACCGGCTGCGGCGGCAGGGCAAAGAGGGTGCTGAGAGTGAGGCCCCAGAGGCCCTTTCCTTTTGGGGGGCTTGAGTCACCGCCGCCACCGCCCCGCTTGCTAGCCCCCGACTCTGCGGCTCCGACGGGTGGTCCTCAGGCTCTGCCCAAGGAGAGGTCAATCAACGTTCGGCGGATCGCTGGGCGATGGGGGTAGCCAAGCAAGCTCCTGGCCGAGAGGACCCAGAGCAAGGGGTTTCGGGTTCCGAGGCCCCCCGGGAGTCAGGAGGGGCGTGGGCGGCAGGAAGTCCCGGCATTGCTGAGGGTCCGGCGAAACTACCCCAGCAGCTCCGGGTCACCCCGCAGCTCAAGGGAGGGGTCCAGCGCAGGGACCCCAGTACGTCCCCATTGCTCAAGCCCTACTTCCAGGCGCTCTTCCCCGGCACGCCCCTCCCTGTGCTCCTTCCTTTTGAGGTCCCCTGCCCTGGGGCCTGCTGCGTCCCTAGACTTCCTGCCGGCCCGGGGGCGGCACAGAACCCAGCCCGATCCCAACTGGGCCTCTGCTGGAGGAAGCAGCCCCTCGGTCCTGCTTCCGGCGTCCGGCGCTGCTCTTTGTCCCTGCTGGAAGCAGCCTGGCTCTGGAATCCAGGCCTGGGGGCAGGGGCCGTGTCTTCCACGTAGGTAGGGATGCTGCCCCAGGTTTGCCCAGTGCTAGGGCATGTGGAAGACTGTGCTGATGACATTCACACCGTCCATCCGTCGTGATCTCTTGAGAGCCTCATAGAAATGCTGTGATGGAGGGAACAGCAGACTAATAAACCTTTTCCAGAAGGTTCTGGCTCAGTCTGAGGATCAGCTTTGCAGTGAGGGTTGGTGCGGGGTGAGATACTGGAGTGAAGGGGTCACCTACAAGGGCCTCGAGTCAGTTCTCTTCCACAGTCACTCCCTGCTCCCCTCCCTCTGGGATCAAAGGCGGTGGGGGGGAGGCATCCATGGAGGAGTGGCCCCAGCCTGCCAACCATCTGTTCCCACCTGAGGGCCTGGTCACCTGACTCCCACCTGGATGCAGACCTTATACAGGGCAGCAGGGAGGAAGTCCCCAAGGAAGGTGCAGGCCTGAGGCCTCGAGATGGGGGGCAGATAAACCCAGGATGGATTTGACGTTTTGTGCTGGTCTCCCATACAAATGCGTTTGGTTTGGCTACACTGCATTCCCTTTAATGACTCCCCCACCCCCTTCAGAGAGGCTGGTGCCCCTGGGGTAGTCTTCTGTGGTGGGAAGGAAGAGAAGGGGGTGTGGCGAGGCCCAGGGCACACCTGGGTGGGGCGGTGGGGGAACAGCTTGCGGCTCAGGAAGGAAGGCTGCTTGGGCTACATTGTGGAGAAGCTCCTCCACCCCCACATAAGAAAAGAGCTGGAGACGGGGTGGGAGAGCAGGGGTGGGAGTGGGACAAAACGCCCCTGTGAGGGAGGGGAGGGCGAAGTCCACCGCCAAGCTCTCTCAGCAACCGGGATGTCAGGGATCGATTGCTGAATTTCTGTAATTATGTGCGGAGACTCGGAAAGGAACTGGGGTGCGGTCCGGGCCTCGGCTCCTCTCCCAGCCCCTCAGGGAACGAGAGCTCGTGTTGGAGAAACCGACCAGAGCCCCTCCAGCCGGGCTCCACTCGCAAACGTCTCTTCCCCGGGCGCGGCGGAGCCACTTAACGCGCTCCGTAGTGACGTCTCCCCTTTCCTTGCTCTGTGCGTGCCCCGCCCCGCCGCTCCGCAGGCGTTGCCAGGGCGACGGTGCGTCCCTCTCCGCCCGGCGGAAGCCCAGGCCTGGCCGCATGCGCAGTCTCGGAGCCTCCCGCGCGCCACCTCGCCCCGCCCGCAGGGAAGCGGTCGCGTGGCGATGACGTCCCGGGGGCCTGGCCGGGCGTCTCGGACTCTGGAGATGGAGGAACAGGAGCTGTTACGGCGGCAGATCCGCCTCCTGCAGGGTGAGTCAGGCCGGGCTGGGGTCGCACGTCACTGTCTTTCCCCTCACCTCACGGCGGGCTCCCGCCCGCCTCCCCGAAGGGGGTGGCTCTCTACCCGCCGTCTCGACGGCCAGGTTGGGTCGGGTGGGGAGGCAGGTAGGGTGAGGCAGAGGGTGGGGGACGTGAGGGGGCCTCCGGGCCGGATGGGTCAGCCCCACTGCCCGGGTTTCGCCCTAGTCATAGTGCGGGCCCTTCCGGCGCTGCGGCGGGTGGCGGGTGGGCGGTCATTTAGTAACCGGCGGGAGGCGGCCCCCACCCCCACGGGCGGGCACGTCCTCGGCGTCCCCCGGCTCCCGGCCCCCGACAGTGGGGCGGAGGGCTCTGGTGCAGCGTGGCAGAGCTCGTTCGGCGCGAGGGGCGTGTTTCCAACCCCCGACGCTCCGTTTTGACGCTCTTAGCCTCCGTACAGCCTCACTCCTTGATGTTCCAGTTCCAGACTCCCAGGCCTCAGTTTCCGAACTTTTCAGTTTTTAGACCCAAGTTGGGCTTTTCTGTACTTAAAAAGGAAAAAAAAAGAAAAGAAAAAAATCCCCCTTTTAAAGTGACTCCCACAAAGAGAAGATTAAGGACTTGGAAAGTGCGTATGGCGGAGAGTCTAGGTGTGCCAGCCCTGCTTTGGGGTCACTTCTTGGGTTTCCGTCATACCTGCCTTGAGGTGTCCCCACGTCTGGACGTGGCTCTCTTTGGGTCTGGGGGCAGGACCTGGGTTGGAGGAGTGTTGTAACTGGGGGGCTGCTACTGGTTTGTTAGTTGAGTTGTAATGCCCTGGAGCCCTGGGTTGTCACAGCCCGGGCCTGTGCCCCTCCAGCATCAGGACAGGTATCCCCGGGCTTCCTTGGAAGGGCCCTGTGGTGGTTGTGTCAGTCCAATGATCAAGCTCCTCCTCTCCTGAGGGGAGGAGGGTGTGGAGTATGCCCAGGGGTGTCAGTTGTCTTACACTGGTCCTGTGCACCAGGCAGGGAGCTGGCGGGCCCCCTTTTTTTTGAGGCATTCCAGCATGGGGCCTTGCTGGTCTCTTCTTATGGAGTGACTCTTTCCCTCAAAGGATTGTGGACCCAGAATAATATCCCCGCCAAATAGGGGATATTATGCCACAGGGGTGCGTTTTCAGGATCAGCTGCCAGAATTAGGACTGAGGTAGAACTGATGGGAAGAGGCTCATGGAAGATAGGCCTAAGAGATTTAGGCTGAAGATTCAGGGCTTCTCAGGCAGCAGGGGCTGCCCCTCCTGCACCAGGACTCGGGCTCAGGAGTGAGGGGGTCTGTGGGGTGTCTTGTCAGCTGATGCCCTCTCCAGGGAATTGTTGCTGATTTTCCTCTCACCCCCCTGGTTAAACTTGTAATTCTGTCTTCTCAGGTTTGATTGATGACTACAAAAACCTCCATGGCAACGGCCCTGCCCCAGGTTCCTCAGCTGCTTGCCGGTGGCAGGCGCCAGCCTTCAACAGCAGCAGGGCCTTCAGCACTCGCTACCCTCGCCCAAGCCGGAGGGGCTTCTCCCTGAGCCAGGGTCCTTCGTGGCGCAAGAAATACTCCCTTGTGAATCGGCCCCCAGGATCTTCAGACCCGCCCGGTGACTGTGCTGTGCAGCCAACCGTTGGGGCTGGGGGCGGCCAGGATCCCCGCCCCCAGCCGTATGTCCTGGAGAGGCGGGTCCAGCTCAGTCCAGATCAGAGTATGGTCATTCGAATCAAACCGCCATCCAAGCCTGGCTTGGCTAGCACTGCAGGGACCCCGCAGGGCTCCTTGGAAAAATGTGAGGACCCGCCCTGGAGTGACGCCAGGCCTCAGGAAGGTGAGGGCGAGCCTCCTGGCGGGCAGCGGCAGCCCTCAAGGCCAGGAAGAGCCAAGGGGACTTACAGCGCAGAGGACCCCCTTCTGGTCTGCCAGAAGGAGCCTGGCAAGCCCCGCATTGTGAGGTCTGTGAGCAGTGTGAGTGGTAGCCCCTCGGAGCCCCGGCGGACGGTCAGTGAGAGCGCAGTTTCGGTCCAGGCGCGCTTCCTGTCCACCCATCCCCAGCGCAGCGGCATGGCTCTGTCCAGAAAGGTGGGCTCTCACCCCGTGACCAGCCGTGTTGCACAACTCCTTGGGAACGGGACAGTGGATACCGGCCACCCAGATCAGCCAGCTTCCTCAGGCTCGGTGGCAGGCCCAGCTCGAACAGCTTCCGGCCCCAGACAGGCTCGGGAGGCCCCACTGCTTGTGTCTTGTCGAACCAACAAGTTCCGGAAAAACAACTACAAGTGGGTGGCTGCCTCGGCAAAGAGCCCCCGGGCCCCTCGAAGGGCCCTCAGTCCCAGAACGGCTGCGGAGAATGTGTGCACAGCCCCCTCTGGCCCAGGAGAGCGAGTGGAGAAGCCGCAGCCCAGAGCTGACCCAGATGCCAAGCCCAGGAAGGTGGCCGTGTCCTCCACAGCCGGGGCTTCCCGCAGCAAGTACAAGTGGAAGGCCTCTATCCCTTCGGCCTCCTCGTCATCCTCCTTCCGGTGGCAGTCAGAGGCTGCCAACAAGGACCGTGCCTTCCAGCTCTCTCCAGTCCCTTCTAGGTCCCCCCCAGGGGACAAACCAGCAATGGGACCCAGCGAAACCCCGCTCTCAGCTTACAAAGTGAAGAGCCGTACCAAGATCATCCGGAGACGGGCGAGTGCTAGGTGTGTGGCCCAACTGCCACCCCAGGGTTCTGTGCGGGCAGAGCCAGTGGGAGGAGGATGTGAAGCCTCACCCAACGCCTCCTGGTCGCTGCCCAGTGGGGCCTGAGCCAGCACAGAGCTTAGCTTGCGGGATGAGGCTGAGTAAGGGGGGTTCAGCACGGCCAGGGGCTTGCCTGGGGCCTTCAGCCATGCGGGACAGGTGGGGGAGGGTGCCAGCAAGCCTACCGTTTCTCCTGTTGGTGAGAGCCTACTCCCCTTCTGGGCCCATGGTTTGTGGACGGGCGGTGTTGTGCCCGGGCCAGGAGCTGGCTGAGCAAACCTAGGGTGCACTGTGCCCACCGGAGGAAGGCTGCCCCGTGGTGGTCGGGTGACTGCATGTCCCTCTCCTGGCCTCCACCCCCGTGAGTTGTGTCTGGGATCAAGGAGTTAATCGTGGCAGCTGCTACTGGCAAGGCCAGAGGGCTTACGTCTGCCATTAGACACGGCGGCATGCGTCTTCCTCACTGGGAGTCCCCCTCTGCAGGTCCTTCCCGCTGTCTGACCTTGGTCTTTGGCCCCCCTTGCCCAGAAAGGTGCCACCTTGGATGACACGGGCTTCCCCCAGCCCCCACTTTTTCTGGATGGCATCTAGCACAGAAAGGGGAGCTGTGAGAGTAGCCCCCCTGTGGAGAGGGCTGTAGACGCTGGTGGCGGTTTCTCCTCTGGACGTCACCAGTCTCCTTCACCCCTACCCAGCTCTACTCGGGGACTCATCTGGCCTCGGGAGATAGAGGAGACAGCCCGGGCAGGGGTCAAGGGCTGGCCCAGGGATCCCGGACCCCTCAGCTCTGTGGTTGGGAGCCTGGGGGAGGGGCGCCCCATCAGTAGACCTGCTTTTCAGGTGGAAGGCAGAACTGGTGGGGCTGGGACCCATGGGGGGCAGCTGGCAGCCTCCTGGGGCCATTTCAATGGCCCTGGGAACCGGGAGGGCCGGGGTGGGTGGGGCATTCGTCCATGGCAGGGGGCCTGTTGGGAGCTGCTGGTTCTTTGTCTCCACAGCCTTCCTGGGGACAAGAAGAACAGCCCCCCACCTGCTGCCACTGCCAAGAGCCAGTTCAGCCTGCGGAGGAGACAGGCTCCCCGGGGCAAGAGCAGCCCGGTTCTGAAGAAGACCCCCGCCAAGGGCCTGATGCAGGTCACCAGGCACCGGCTGTGCCGCCTGCCTCCCGGCCGGGCCCATCTCCCCACCAAGGAAGGTATGAGAACAGGAGGCTGGGTCTGGGGAGGAGCGGCTCTGGGAAGCCCTGAGCGGGGCCCAGCTGGCTCTTCTGGGCTCTGAGGAAGCGCTTTTGAGTTCACCTCGGCCTCAGGCCCCAGCCGGAGCGCACTCAGCCTGGCGGGCAGTGGGGTCCTGGGCTGGGAGTACAGGAGGAGAAGGCCGGGGCTCGGGGGACATGCTGCGGGCAGGTGTGTGGCGGCCTCTCCAGTGTTCCTGTTCGTGGAAGGAGAGGGCAAATGAATGAGGTGGCAGCCATGCAGTCCTGACGGGGAGGAGGCCAGGGCTCCCCTAGGCCTGCTGTCTGTCCTCTCCCCTGTCCTCGGCAGCCTGGGCCAGCAGCTCTGCCTCCCTCCCTACTGGCTGCTGCCGCTTTCTCAGAAAGCCTGAGCTGGCCTGGAGTTGGCTTTGCCCACTTTCTGAGTCACTGGTGTTTAGTGAAAAGCGTGGGGAGCGTTGTGGGGTGTGGCCTCCTTGAGGACGGCCCACTGCCTGAGGTGATGGCAGCACACTGGGGAGCTGCTGCGAGGCTGGCACGTGCTGGGGATCTGTGGTGGGGGGGGTCTAGGACCATGGGCCGTGGGGAATGGGGACACGCTCACTGGGACGCTGTCCTGGAAAACTAGACTTCATCTGGGTGCACATGGCCCTGTGATGTCCCCTTTCCCTCCCCTTTGAGCAGCTGGGGCATGTGTGGTGGTGGCTTCTCAAGTGACGCATGTTGAAATGTGGAGGTGGCTTGGCCCATGGCATTCCGACTGGGGACTTGTGCTCTCACGACTGCACTGTGCCCTGCCTGGCATTCTGGGACCCAGCTGAGGTCCTTGGTCCTTGGTCTTTAGTGGGCCCCGCGGAGCTGAGCACCTGTGTGGGAGGTGGCCGCTAGAGGACGGGGCGTGGGGACCCGAGGAAGTGAGGCAGCAGGGCACTGGCTGCCCACCTGCACTTCTTTGGCTGCCGTGTCCTGTGTGCCAGGGCGAGTGTGGACTTCATCCGCAGCATGTTGGAGCAAAGAGAGCCTGATATAGGCGGCTGGTGCAGAAACCCAGCCCCGAGGCCCCCGTCAGCCCTGCCGTGCGGCCTGGTGGCCAGCAGAGGGCGCACTTGCCTCTCTTATACCGCAGTGCACCTTTTTCTGGTAATTGATTGCCTAATTTCCTCTTTATGTGAAAGAAAGCAGATATCAAGTAATTTGCAGCAATAACCTGCTAATGCTGGGCCAGTATCGAAACTCCCCTGTTCATTTCAAGTGGCAGATAAAACACTAATACATAATTATCCTTGCAAATTGGATTGTTTTAAATAACCAAAAGGCTACGGCCAGGAGAAGCGAGCCCATCTCCCTTGAGTTACTGTTGCAGTGTAATTGCCGCGTTCAATCAATTTCCCTGGCATTAGAAATTCCATCACAATCAACATTAAGCTTTATTCGTTGTGATGGCTAAGAGCCGGGCCATTTCTCCTCTTTTTCTTAACTGGCAAAATTAATCAGGGAAAAGATTTTAAACATTTACCCGTGCGAAAGAGGTCAGCTCTGCCACTATATTGCTCAGCAGATAAGGGGGCTAATAAAAAGAAAATTGAATTACTAATGATCACCAGGAACAGAGTGTATAAACCCTGGCAGTCGCCGGTCCAGGAAAAGGGGGAATCAATTTTCCTGGGACAAGGTGCGCTCATTTTTTATTTTGGCGCATATTATCAGCAATTTAATTTGAGAGCGCATAAACAGGAGGAAACAGTTAGGGAATAATGAGCCCGGAGGTGTAACGTGCTGCAGGATATATGCTGTACACAATTTATTTGGCACAACAGATAATCGCTTTAATTGAATTCAAAACTGCATTGTTCAGCAGGCGTGGGGCCCGGCCCTCGGGGACTGAGCTGTGAAGACTCCAGCCCGACTCCTCTAGCTTTCCCTCCTCTGCCCGTCCGTCCGCTCGCCTCCGCACTCCCCTGCCCTCCAGCCCTCCCGCCTGGTTCTCTGGGCTTGGAGTCAGACTTTGGCTGGGAGGCGGGCCTCTTGCCTTTTCTTCTGGGGATGAGTTCATTGGCAGCTGGGGGATTGAAAGGAAACCTGAGAAGGGGCCCAGGGGAGCGTCTTTGCTGACTGGGGGGCCTCCTACATTGCAGCTGCATAGAGACCCTGCGTGATCTGTCCTGTCTCAGGGCGGACGGACGCTGGAGGAGGCAGAAGAGAAGGAAATCTTCTATAGGCCTCAAAAATACTTTCCGATTTACCAGCGTGTCATTGTGGCAATTAGTAACCACAGTACACAGCCTCTCACTCCAGTGCAGGCCTGGGGTTCAGGGCCAGCTCTGTGGCTTGTCCTCTTCTGGCCACACGGCCCCAGCACTGTGACACGGGTCACCCTGAAGTGACAGGCTCCGTGTGTGCCACTGTATGCAGACGGTTTTGCCCAGGCCAGGCTGGGAGGGGGGCCAGCACTCTTTGCCTGCAGCATGGGGGCTGGTGGCCCACCTGACCCCTGGGTCCCAGGCTAGGGGGCTTCATGGTGGCAACAGGTCATGGGATTCCTACGGCCACTGGGAGTGTTTGCTGTCCTGTGTGAGGGAAAAGCCACTGGTGGGCAGTGGTGTCACCTCCCAGGAATCACTGGGATGGGAGGGCCCCTCTGCTTCCCCTGCCCAGGACAGTGGACAGAGCCTGCCTTCTCCTTCCCCTGCCTGTCCTGAGCCAGGGGCCCTGCCTGGGAAGCCCCAGACGGCACGGAAGAGTGGCCAGCTTGGTGGGAGAGGGTGTGGGCCTGGCAGGCTGCTCAAGGCTGTACGGGCAAGGCTGTTGTTGACAGGAAGGGCCCAGTTTTCACCCCTCTCACTAGGCCCCACCCCTCTGATCAGGTGTGCCCAGGGGGCAGGACTGCGGCCTCACTCTGGGGAGGCAGCCCAGTGCAGCCCTGTGCTGGCCTCAGGGCTGTGGGAGGGGCAGTGGGCCAGGGAGCCTTGCCCTGGGCCTCCACAGGAAGGAGGCGTTTCTCACCCACTGCTCGCCCAGGGCCCTGTGCGTGGTTGGGAGCAGAGGGGTCCAGCTGTGCTGCGGGGAGGCTGGCGGCCGTGGGTACGGCGCCTCGGGAGCAGAGCAGCCTGGAGATGGGGGCGTCACTGCCTGCCCGCGGCCAGCCTCCGGAGTGCCAGCAGCTCCCCTCTCCTAAGTTAGCCTGAGGCCATCGGTCCCAGCCTCATGGGACGTGGGAGACCTGCAGTGAGCCCGGGGACGCTGCTCCCAGCCGCCGTGGTGGGCAGGGACACGGAGCAGTTCTGCCACGGCCCACGGCATGCCCTGGCTCCCAGCCCGCAGCTGAGGAGGAGGAGGGTGTGCTGCGTCACGGCAGGGGAGGGTGCAGGGCCAGGGCTGCGTGATTGTCCCTGTGGTGTCCCTGTTCTCTCCCATGGGTGCTCAGGAGCAGTCCTGAGTCCTGCGCACACCCTGGGATTTTCCCGAGGGGCTGGCAAGCCCTGGCAGGGGCCTCCAGGTCTGTGACCCCGCCAAGGGTTGTCCCCCTGGGCTGCTGTGCAGATTGAAGGAGCAGGCGATCAGGTGCTGGGGACTGCCCTGTGGCTGCCGGCGCCCCACCGAGGGGGTCTGCAATCCCACTCCCGCCATGTGCGGTGGGCTTGGTTTTACTAGGCGAGCACCGCAAAGGGCGGAGAGCAGTGAAATCTGGAGTCCTGCTTTCATAAGGGAAAAGAAAGTGCTGAATTAGGTGCTCCAGCCTGAGCCTTGCATAAATTATCAGGTACGTTGGAGGCTCCAGGTTTACGTTTGTCATGGCTGAGCTAATTAATTATTCCACAAGAGCTGGCGTGGGAGTGGTGTGTGCTCATGGTGCTGGGAGGCACCTGGGCGCGCTCGGAGCCTCTAGGGGAGCCGTGATCTCCGCAGAGCTGGGGGCACCCAGGCGGCACTAAGAAGCCAGAGCCTGGGGAAGGAGGGTGGTGTTCTTGGGATGCCTGGAGCTCCCACCCAGGAGGTCTGGGCAGCACCCTTCTTGTGGGCCTGGGTCCCCTGTTGGGGACGGCTCGGGCTGCCCCTCATGTCTAATGAATTGCGATGGTGTGCCCAGGGTGTCACACCCCTGTGTTGTGGCCGGCTGAGTCAGGCCCAGCCTCCTTTCTTACCTAGACCTTCCAAGCCCAAGGAGCCCTCTCAAACTGCCACTGTCACGAGCCCACTGGCTGCTGACCAAGTGGCCCTGCCCTCCCCCTCGGCCCCCAGCACTCTTCCTGCCCTTTGGGTGGTCTGTCCTACCAGCTCTCCTGGGCCAGCCCCTACCTTCCGCAGGGAAAGGCGCCAGCCTCAGTGGGGGCTCCCGCCTGCTGGAGGTGGAGTGTGGCCTTCCAGGTCCCTGAAATTTGGCCCCTCTCCAAGGCTGTCAGAGTGTTGCTGGGCACCCCATCTAGCCATGGCATCCTGCTCCTAGCTTCCTGCTGGCTCCACTCACCCCCCCCCCCATGAGATCCTGCCTGTGCACACCTGCCGGGCTCTTGGTGGTCTCTGTGCTGGGGGACCCCCCAGGGCAGGGCTGGGTGCGGCCAGACCTCCACGTGGACGTGGGTGTCGGTCAGGGGACCGGAGGTTCCCCACACCTGCATCCCCTGGCATGCTGAGGCGAGTTCCTGGTGGGATGGAAGTGCCTCCTGTCGGTGCCTCCTGCCCAACGCAGGGCTGGTATGGCAGGGGCCGGGAGGGGGAGACCTGTGTTGTGGGGAGGGCGCAGCCCTGCTGGTCCCTGCCCACAGGGCGCCTTGTCTTCCTGCTACTCACCCCGCCCTTAGTGCCATCCCTGCCCCTGGTAAGCTAACAGTCACTGTCACCAAGCCCCAGGTGCTGTGCTGGGCATGTGGCCAATGGGCCAGCCTGGTGAGGCCCCCAACAGCCCGGGGACAGAAAGGGATGACGCCAGCACAGATGTGACTTGGTGGCAGAGAGAAGACAGAGAGACTGGCCAGCTGGCCGGG